ATGTTTGTTCAAAGGTTCTGTACCTAACCTAAGTTCTGAGCCCAAACAAATTTTCTGTGTTAAAGCTGCTGAAACAATGTTTGTGAAAGTATAAAGGCTGCAAAAGGAGAAGGAAAAATAAAGTACCACAAATGTTAAACTTCTAAAACATCAAATCTAAGGGTTGCTTCTATACATCTGCTGCTCCTGCGGAAAAGAACTATGTTTATCCAATATTTTTAAGGTTGTAAATGCCAATACTGACCATTGTTGTGAGACTTAATGAGATCATGTTAAAAGCTTTGCTTTGGGCATTCTGTGAAAGATCTGAAAGAGCTGTGTTGAAAATCAGGTTTTGGTGTTTGTGTTCATTTGGAAGTGTTGTATTTTGGATTGTGACGGAGTTCAAAGTGAAGTAGGGTGTGGCGGTTGAAAGGCTTGAAGTCAATGTGTGATGGCTAAAGTTTATACTCTGTTTTTAATTGTGACACAGTCTAAAATAAGGCTTGAAAAAGGGTGTGGCCCAAAGAGAAAACCAGGAAATCTGTTCTGGTCGACAGCTGGAAAGGGTCTGAGTTTAGCAGGAAATGACCAAAACAGGAGGGGTGGAGTTTGTACAGACATCAGTCCAGTCCCTGTCCCTATCTGTCTTTGCTCATGTAATGCCTTGCTCAACCCCTGTCCCATTTAAAATCCTGACTTTGTGTCAGGGCCTACTTCTGCTTTTTTTTTTTTTTACTTTTTCTGCTGCACTGGCTGACTGTGTACTCTGGATTAGAGTTCAGGCAAAGATGATAACTGAAAGTTGTGAAAAGGGACAGAGAAGTAGAGTAATAACTGAAAGTTGTGAAAAGGGACAGAGAAGTAAAGTAGTAACTGAAAGTTGTGAAAAGGGACAGAGAAGTAAAGTGATGACTGTGCTGTTTTCCATAGTGTGAAAAATTACAAATTAAAATAAGAATTAAAAAAAAGTTGTTTTCTTTCCAAAACTAAAGGCATAGCAAGAAATAAAAAATAGGTTTACAGGAACACTGCTGATCAAAGTGAATCAATAAAAATAATAAATTGCACAAAAAGTCAAGACCAGAAAGTAAAAATTGGTATAACTCCAGCTGCATCGGTAGGGTGTAAAAATCCTGAACACATAAATGATATCCAAAAACTTACAAAGAATGGGGAAATCAAATCAAGTGGTTAGAATCTGCATGGCCAAGAGGAGGCACATTTGATGTGACTGTGTGTTGGGATTTTGAGCAGCGAATTAAAGACCACAAACACAAAGATAAAGAACAAAAAATTTAAAAACCCCATAGACTGTATAAACTATGAACAAGTTGGTTCCACCTTCGGTCATTATACGTATTGGAGGCCGAATTGCACTTGGCATTCACAGGATTTTACCCACTTCCTGGAACCATCACTTGAACAGGAACGTTGTACGCATTCCATCCACTTGTGCAGTAGCATTGTACGCATTCGGTGGGAGTGTCACAGAGAGTTGCTGTGATGGTGCTCGGCTCAAAAAACGTATCCCTCCGGTGAGCTACTCATTGTTCGTACGCCCATAAGCTGTATCAAGTGTCAATTATAGAAAACATGAACCCCTAAATAACTTTTAAAAATGGAGCTGTACAGAAAAAAGAGGACTTGAGCACAAACCAGTCTTACAGTAACTACATAGGAATATGAATAAGAATAAGAAGAACTTTATTAATCCCCGAAGGGAAATTCAATTGTCCGACATCTCATTTGTCATATCTAAACTACAACTCTTCTGTAAATAGTAGATGACTTTTAAAGTCTGATGGCTGTAGGTACCAAAGATCTTCTGAATATTTCTGTTCTGCAGTGAAGAGAGAGGAGCCGTCCACCACCATTGGCCCTTTGGTCCATTAAGGTGTTGCGAAGTGGGTGATCCATGCTCTTTAGAATAGTCTCCACCTTCCTCAGTGTAGATCTCTCCACCACATCCTCCACTGAGTCCAGCTTGAATCCAACGACAGAGCTAGCCTTTTTCACCAGTTTGTTAGATGCCTTGCATCTTTGTGTTTGATGCTTCCTCTCCAGCAGACTGCAGTGTAGAACAAAACACTGTAGATCTACACCACAGACTGATAAAACATCTGCAGCATCTTACTACAGATGTCCATATGTCAGAGTCCTTTCTGTAGATGAAGTCTATATTCTTAGACCAGTCCAACTTATTATCTAGATGTACACCTAGGTATTTATATGATGTCACCACTTTGATGTCCACTCCACAGGTGTTCACTTGCTGAAGAGGGGGTTTGGATCTACGGAAGTCTATGACCATCTCCTTTGTCTTTGAGGTGTTAAGAAGGCTCTTATCAGACCTCTGTATTCAGCTTCTTGTCCATTTCTGATGCATGCCACAATATCGGTGTCATCTGAGTATTTCTGGATGTAGCAGGACTCAGTGTTGTATTTGAAGTCTGACGTATACAGTGTGAACAGGAATGGGGCCAGCACTGTCCCTTGTGGAGCCCCTGTACTGCTCATTAATGTCCCAGAAACACAGTTCCCCAGCCTGACAAACTGTGGTCTTCCAGTCAGGCAATCTGCGATCCAGGAAACACGGGAAGGATCCACTCCCATCTCTGTGAGCTTGTCTTTGAATATGGTGGGTTGGATGGTGTTGAATGCACTTGAAAAGTTGAAGAACATGATTCTTCACATAAACCCCAGGTTCCTCCAGATGAGACAGGGCACGGTGAAGCATGTAGAGGACAGCATCATCCACTCCAGTGTGTTCTTTGTATGAAAACTGCAGTGAATCCAGTTTGTCTTTGACCTCAGACCTCAGAAGGTGTAGAATCAGCTGCTCCAGGGTTTTAATGATGTGTGAAGTAAGGGCCACTGATCTGCAGTCATTGAGTTCAGCAGGACATTTTGTTTTTGGTACTGGCACAATGCAGGATGTTTTCCACAGAGCAGGTACTCGCCCCAGCTGTAGACTCAGGTTGAAGATCCTGTGTAGAGGTTGATACAGTTCTGCAGCACAGTCTTTGAGCAGCCGTGGACACACACCATCTGGACCAGCTGCCTTCCCAGGGCAAAGTCCTCCAACCTCACCCCTGTTTTTGTGACAGACAAGGACTGGTGTTCTAGGAGGGAGGTTTTTGAAGTGGTTGAGCTGTCGGTATAGCTGTGTCTCTACAGAAATTTATATATTCAGTGAAGCAGTCAACCTGTCTGTCAATGTTCATACTATCCACATCTGTTTCCAGCAGCACATTTCAGCCTGTTGATTTAAAACAGTCCCTTAGAGCTTCACTAGCTTGAGGTGTCCATCTTTTGATTTTGATTCTGTAACAGGTCTGCAGATAGACCAAGTTATGATCTTGCTTGCCCAGTGGTGGTAAGGCAATGGGTCTGTAGGCTTCTTTGACATTGGCACACAGCAGATCCAGGGTTTTGTTCTCTCTGGTAGGACAGTTCACAAACTGTGTGAATCCAGTCAGGTGAGAGGAGATATGTCAACATCACAAGCAGGGGGGGAGTAAAACTTATATTCTGTGTAATTCATTTTAGAGTTTGTCCACAACTCCATAGGGATTGCTGGAGGAGTTGGGATTTATGACCTATACTGCAGCCTGTCACCAGAAGGTGCTGTTCTCACGGTGGCTTCGCCAAGCGAGGCAGCAGACGGCGTCCATTCTATATACAGTCTATGGGTGACATTGCTCTGCTGGGGGTGGTCCCAAAACATTGAACTCTGCCAATCAAAAGAATCAGAACCAGAAGAAAGTGGACTCATAGAGGGGGGGCTTAAAGAGACAGCAGCTAAAGTGAAGTGTTTCAGACAGAGGCTGAAATACTGACATTTTAACACACTCAGTGAGAAACACAGGGTTTTTTGTAAATCTGAAAATCCTGTGAAGCTGTTGATGAGGTATCAGAAAGGAAGTGTAGAGTCTGAAAAAATGCAGAGTACCCACTAGTCTTCATAAAGAAAGAGTAGAGCAGTTTTAAACCTTTTAAAGGTATTTCAGCCATATACACATCTCCTCTGGGGTTACCCACTGGATCCAGAACAGCTCTGCTCTGCTCTGGACTGGCAGGCGGATCAGATACACAAGCATACAGCGCCCACCAGATCTGATCCGCTGCTGCCATCAGAGGAGAAGTGCTCATGAGATTACTGGATAACAACTTATGAGATCTCGCATGTTCCCTGGGAGTCGTCAGCCGATCCACCAAATTGATGCGCCGTGTTTCAGCGTCCGGCAAAAAATAGAAGCATTGTGTATCTGATCCAGCCGCCGGAGCTGATCTGCAGGAGCAGGACGGCTGCTGGATTCTGTGGAAATACACACATTGATTATAATGCTTGCGTATTTGATCCGCCTGCCGTTCCAGATCCTGTGGGTCTTGCCGGTTAATATTGCAGACCTTTTATTCTATCAACAAAATGTAACTAAGCTGTGGAGCTAGGGGATATTTTGGCAGATAAAAAATGTAAAGGTTTGTGCTGGACTAATTGAAGTTAGGGCCCCAATAAAATAAAATATTAACACAGGGAGGGTCCACAGATTGGGAAAAGTACAGAATAAACTGTGAGTTTGCCCACAAACATAACAGTCATAAAAGCTGTGGGCTTAGGGAGGAGCTGTTGGTAAATTTCCGTGTAGAGCTAAGAGGAACAAGACTGTCAGTAACCGATGTCTGAGAAATTCAAATGTCATAATTCCACTTAACGGTTCATGTCATTGACCTTCTATGAACTCTTTAGAGTAATGACTGGTGACTTCAAATGCCCTGTATTTGAAGAGTTGTTTAATCATCAAAAACATCATATCTTAGAGCCAGTTACTAAAAGAAACCAGGCCCCTCAGAGGTCACCTACAAATGATTTGGATTAACAATATGGTGGATATTCTTGTACTTCAAGACAAAATAAATACATTGATAAAATGATAATCCACAAAATCTCAGAAATAACAAAAAAAAAGTTTTAAAGCTGCATCATCATAAATCAAAGGTTATTTGTTAAGTGGACACTGGACAGTGTAACTCAAACGTGTTAAGTCATTCATTTTACTAAATTAATCGTCTCAAGGTCTCCTGATGAGGACTGTGGTTTTGCTTTGAGACTAAAATGACTAGGTGAGAAAAACCAAAGTGCCTTCACTTGCCTTTAACGCAGCATCAAGCCCTTAAAAAACCTGAAAAACAACATTGCTTAGAGTTACATCACTTAAGTTGATAATGAACAGACTTTTGGGGGTGGTCAAAAAAAGAGATAAAATGAAGGGGGTGGAGATTTTAGGAAACAGAGGTGGAGGGCAGATTAGTAAAACCTGAAGCAGCAGCTACAAGGTGATCATACAGGAAAAAACTCCTTCAACCACAACAGGGATCGAACTTTTTTCTCTTTTTCTTGTCAGTTTCAACATAGCAGCCATGTCTGAGTATGAGCTGGAGGTGACAACAGGTGACATGAAATATGCAGGAACATTTGATAACGTTTTTGTCACCTTAATTGGAACTGAAGGGCAGAGTGAGAGAAGCAAGCTAGACAACTATGGTATTGACTTTAAGGCTGGAAAGGTAAGTGAAACACGGGGAAACTCTGACTCAAAGAAAAATGAAAATGGTTGAGTGGTGCATAAACATGTATTTTGTCAGGGTATATATGCCTCTTTTAATGTCTCATTAGAATGCATTGCATTACATTTTCCTTCATTTTCCTTTCTTGATTATACCTGGCATATAGCATTAAGATGAGAAGATTTAGAGCACAACTGATATTTTATATCTCAGTTTATTGCTGTGAGGCCCTGAAAGAAAACCCTGAGTTTGCTCAACCACAAATATGAGTTCAATCTTTTGGTTTGCTCTCTTCAGAAACACTTTTCATCACAGCAATGCCACAATTGTAGGAAATGAGACAAAAATCCAGGAAAGAATTAATGCACATAAGTCAGACTGTTCACTCTGAAATTTGCATGACTTCTTTCCCACTTTTCGAAAGATTTACATCACCTGTGAAGACACTCAACCATCATATTTACATACTGCTTTTCTAGTTGTATTTGCAAGTTTAATTGCAGGTCTTTGCAGCATAACCTGCTTGAGTTTTTCAGACATTAACACTTTAATAACACATACTGTATACCTTTGAATATGGCACTGTTTGGTTCCAATTTGCCCAAATTACAGTCTATAATTACAGCCTAGAAACAGTTTCATTGCATGTCAAATGTACCTTTTAAAATTTATGTCAACCTATTTTTTTCAAAGGTAGGGACCTACACCCTGAAAACCAATTTGTCTCTGGGGACACTCCTGCTGATCAAGGTGGAGAAAGACCCTCTTTTAGTTCTCCCAGAGAGCGAGTGGTTCTGCACCAAAATAGTGGTGACGACTCCCGAAGGGGATGTCCTTCTTTTCCCCTGTCACAGATGGATCTCCAGGGGGGAAATGGTGGAGCTGAGAGGGGGGAGAGGTCTGCTTCAGATCTCTTTCTAGACTCATAGTTTTCTTACAAGACTTGATTTTTCTCATTTCCACACATTTTGACAAACTTTGTTTTAAATTCCATATCCTTTCTTTCATGTAATTCCTAAGCAATGAAGGCTTTTGAAGATGATCATCCCCTGCTAATTGAACAGCGCAAAAAAGAGCTGATGTTCAAAAAGAGCATCTACCAGTAAGTATTGATGAATATGATCTCAGGCTCTTCTGTGTGCTTTTCTTTCAACTTTATTCACCTACTTGTGTTTCAGATGGAAGATCCTGGCTAAAGGACTGTCCCACATCAATAATTTCAACAGTCCATCAGAGCTTCCAGCTGAGGTCCGCTTTTCAGAGTCCAAATCAACTGAAGTAGCCAACACACAAACTCTAACGTGAGTGTAAAGAGATGTACACAGTACACTTAGTAGAGGCTCAAGAGCCATAATATTTGAGGCAAAGAGTAGATTTTTTTTTCTCCTGTTCATTTTGTCTGCCTTCAGGGGTCTTGAACTCAAGTTCAAAGGGCTACTTGGATCAAATGAAAAATGGGAAAAACTTGACGACATGAAACGGATCTTCTGGTTTAAAAAGACAGCAATGTCAGGTATTTCCTTTTTTCAGTTTTCCTGTTCTGCAGCATTACTCACCACAACAATAAGATCTTTACCCTGCGTCATAGAAAACTATGAACAAGTTATCATTTCAAAGCAGCAGCGAATGCCCCCGTACCTCCAATCTCCCCTCAAAACAGGTTTTTCAAGATCTTTGATGAGTTATTTCAAAGGCCAGTCAGGAGTTGGCAGATTCACAACAAGGAACAGCTCACACTAGCTGAGGTTTCTAGAGAACTTTGAGGGTTAGAGTCAGTTCAGTTTTGATAACAGTATTCCTGTAGAGGCATACTGTTAGAGCCCATAGAGCCCATCCGATTTGGGCTTATCTCACGGATGCACCACTGAGCACAGCCAACTGGGGCGGGTGAGTCAAGGTCTCACCCAAGGACACCCTGGCATCCCAACAGCAACCTGGACTGAACCCCCAACTGCCAATTTGGGAGACAACCGACTCTACTACTGGGCCAGTGAGCAGCAAAAGAGACCAAAGGATGATCTTTTTTTTTTTTTAATTATGGAAAACAACACACAACATTTTTCTTGCTGCCATCCTACTTTTTTTTTATTTTAGGATGATCCAAACCAAAAATAGCTTATTATTATCTAGATTTTCATTTTTGGTGTTATTGTTACATTTTATTCAAAGTTTATTTAAGTATGTTCACAAAGAGTGTAACAGTTAGACCATGATTGTGGAGCTCTAACCTTGTGCCTTAGTATCTTTTCTGGGTTCTACATTATTTTTATGCGGCAACAACAAATAAACCAATATTACCTTTCTTCTATCAACATCAAGGTTTCACTGAAATCAAAAGCATGTACTCAATATTTCATATATATAAGTTCCTCTTCCTTTAGAGTATGTTGCAGAACACTGGAAGGAAGACGACTTCTTTGGATCCCAGTTCCTGAATGGCGTCAATCCCAATGTGATCAAGAGGTGCTTTGAGCTTCCTTCAAACTTCCCTGTGACAGATGAGATGGTGGCACCATTTCTGGAGGAGGGCAGCTCTCTGCAGCAGGAGATAAAGGTCTGAATTCTTTTCCTTAGCTTTGTTACCATTCGAGGCTACCTTCCTTGACAATCTTCTGTTGTTAGGGCCCGAGCCAGCTGCAGAGCAGCCGGGCGTAGGCCCTATTATTCCCCAAGTGGTTTTTCTTTGTTTCTTTCTTTCTTTCTTTCTTTCTTTCTTCTTTTTCCTCCCCTTTGAACTGGAAAATGGCCCACTTCCCACTGGCGAAAACTCATGAAATTTGGCAGGACGACCGGGCCTGGTGAAAAATTCGATATTCTGAAGTCGCCCAAACAATAAAATGCAAAATGGCTCCATAGCGCCCCCTAAGGTGGAAATTCACACTATTGACTGTCACGCCTGTACGCTTTGTCATATTGACACAAAAATTAACACACATATGTATCTCAATAAGATCTACAAAAAAGTCAGTGCGGCCGTATCTGTCAAAATTACGGTTAAAGGGTTATTTCGCATTTTTTGCCGATCCGCACACATTGGAATTTCGCTAACTCCTCCGAAGGCTTTCGTTCCACCGGCACCACATTTGCTCAGGCCAATCTACACCCCGTGGCCATTAAAAGTTATCAAAATCATGACGCTGCACCCCAAGGTTTAGGTTCTAGGGGGCGCCAAAGATAACACTAAAATCCACATATTTAAAAGTCTTATAACTTTTTATTTTTGTCCTCACTGGCCTCCAAGTTTTCTAGGATGATGCAATGTCCAGCCATCAACACATTTGTGAAGGAATTTTTACTCCCCAAAAGAGCGCCCCCCCATGGCAGGAGAAAAAAGTCCATTTTTTCTTGTCCCCTAAGGTGAAAATACACATTGTTGAGTGTCACGCCTATACGCTTTGTCAAAATGACACAAAAATTGACACACACATGTAACTCAATAAGATCTACGAAAAAGTCAATGCGCGCGTATCTGTCAAATGTACGGTTAAAGGGTTATTCCGCATTTTTTGCCGATCCGCACACATTGGAATTTCGCTAACTCCTCCTAAGGCTTTCTTTCCACCGGCACCACATTTGCTCAGGCCAATCTACACCCCATGGCCATTAAAAGTTATCAAAATCATGACGCTGCACCCCACGGTTTAGGTTCTAGGGGGCGCCAAAGATAACCCTAAAATCCACATATTTAAAAGTCATAACTTTTTATTTTTGTCCTCACTGGCCTCCAAGTTTTCTAGGATGATGCAATGTTCAGCCATCAACACATTTGTGAAGGAATTTTTACTCCCCAAAAGAGCGTCCCCCCCCCCCATGGCAGGAGAAAAAAGTCCATTTTTTCTTGTCCCTTAAGGTGAAAATACATATTGTTGAGATTCACGCCTATACGCTTTGTCATATTGACACAAAATTTGACAATCACGTGCCTTGCCTGGTATCATTTTTTTCAGCACAACCTCACCTGTGCGAATTTACAGTTATTTTATCATGTTGACATACTGAATTTACACAATGGACCCAAATTCACACACAAAACATAAAATCCGAGTGGAAAAAAGTAACATTTTTACTGTGAAAACCACAAATATGTGTGATGAACTGTTTTTAAAACTTAAACTTCAAATAAAAATTGTAAACTTCAAAACATATGCAAATTTTTAACAAAGAACATAGTGATTTACCTCTATTTACATCAAAATGCAGGCAATGGCCCAGGCGTTCTTTGTAAAATTATTTACAAAACACTGTATAGTCTCACAAATGTCACTTTTTATTTATGCCACTACAAAAAAACATGATGTAAATGATGCATGATGTAAAACATGATGTAAAAAACTTGTGTAGATCCTCCTCTATGTCAGTCCATGTGTAATTTTTCCACAATTCTTTGTTTTTTGCAGCATTTTTGTTAGTGTAACTGCAGATTGTGCTGACAGTGTCTATGGCACAAAAAAAAAAAAAATTAAAATGCCTCAACATGAACCCCTGGTGGTCTCTGAGGGTGAAACCTGCTAACTGCTGCAGCTCTGTCAGCTTCAGTCTCCCATGCAGAGCTCTGAGCGCATGTGTGGCTCTGCACCCTTAGCAGCGTTGCTAACTCCTCAGTAAGGAAAGCCTGCTTCATGTCAGAGTCTCTAAACTCCAGAAGAAGTAGATAAAAGTCCCTTTCTTTCTAAAAAAAAGTCGTTAGGGGGTCTGAAAAGTCATTGAATCTAACAACAAAGTCGCTAGGTTTGCAACTACGTGTCCCAGACTGCATCCCTGCTGAGAGTCCCTCCCTCCCTTCTCATGTTGCAGGAAGAACGTAAGCACCCGCCCCTTGTCAATCAGTCACCATATAATTTTGGATTGGTTGTTGTGGTGAAGTTTTCCACCAATAGGAGAGATGTTGTGGTGTGTTTTTTTTTTCTTTTGGCAAGCCTTTTCCGCCTGTAAGACCTGTCGCTAATGTCTGCATGCTATGTTTTCCTGTCTCATACAGCGCGATCGAGCGCCGAACGTGATCAAAATAAGCAGAAAAAAAGTATCGCGGACATAATTTATCATAACTCTGGTTTTATTTGGCCTATCAACACAATTTAAAAACTGGTATATAGGTTGAGGTCCTCACTTTTGAGATAAATTGAAACGGAGAGTCAACGAGGCTCCGTCTTGCAGCTACATCCGGTTAAATATGTCATGTGACTTGAACGCACACACAGACACACACGCACGCACACACACACACACACACACACACACACACACACACACACACACACACACACTCAGAGTCTGGTTTTTAGCACCTGCAAAAACATGCTATTTACATATTTGACAAGAATGCAGAGGCTCCTTTTGCCCCTGAAAAAAATCAAATTTCAAACACAATTTGACTGGTCATTTCTCCAAAAGACAACCATGAAGCTCCATCCAAACCTGAAGCAGGCAGTTGGTGCATGTGTACAGTAACCTGAGGGGAGTGAGGTGAGTGCTTCTGAGGAGAACATGAGCAGTGAAGATTCACCTTGGAGCTAGAACAGAGACATGCACATGATTATACAGGGGCAGGGGCTCAAGTTTTTTCCAGTCGTTTATACAATATGGAAATTAATGTGAAATTAAAACACAAAGTATTAATAGAAAGGTAATGACTGTCCTGTGTAGGTGACAGTGATATCCAATAGGCTAGGCACTCACGAGGCTGGCTGTGGCAAGTGTAAGTGAAAGCAACACGCACTGGCAGGAAGAACAGCAAACGCCGATGAAGGAAAAGGGTCTTTGCAGTGATGGGCGTTACCAGAGAGGGCGATGGCCAGAGGACACAAATGGGACGGGGAGGCAGCACGTTGGGGGGGGGGGACGCGACACGGCTCGGGCCCGCCAGTGCCCCAACGGGGTCCTAGTTGTTTTTTTTCTTGTCTTTGCTGTAGAAAGGCAAAATATTCCTTTATGACCAGAAGATATTGGATGGAATACCAACTAGAGTCTACAATGGTGACAGTCTTCAAGTCTCAGCAGGTCTCTGTTTGCTGTACTTGAACCCTGAAGACAAACTGATGCCGATTGCAATACAGGTATGTGTCCAACACAGCAAATCATTGATTGCAGGCATATTAAAAAGATTCTGGTCTAATAAATTTCCATGCTAAATTTGTACAGAGACAAAATCCTATTCCTCTGTTTTACATGAAATTTCAGTGTTTTACATCTTCATATTTCAGCTACAACAAAAGCCGTCTGACCAGAACCCAATCTTCCTGCCCAGTGACTCGCAGGCGGACTGGCTACTTGCAAAAATATTTATCAGAAATGCAGACGCAATTGATCATCAAGCAGTCCAACACCTCATGAAGACTCACTTTATGGTGGAAGTCTACACTGTGGCCACTCTGCGCTGCTTTCCAGTCATTCATCCCATCTATAAGGTAGAATAACACAGAATGATTCAAGCCTCAGTTTCCTTTGATTGTACATTTATTCTTCCACCCTAAACTGATGCTGTGATATAAAATGATTAATTTTAAAGATATTTTGGGGTATTTCATATCTTCATCATTCAGTCAATATAGTCAATCAAGTCAATAAATTGAGGAGGAAGTGATGAGGAACAGCTTTGATATGATTAAAGCTTAACTTACCTTCACCCTCCAGAAACACTTTTATATAGAGGTGCTGGAGCACAGTCATGCAGTGTATCTACAGTTGTATGTATTTAAGCTCTTTACAAATTTTGATGTCCCTGTTTTTTTTCACTGGTTGGCTGTTATTCAGTTTCATAGATCAGGATTGGCAGCCTGTATTTTGCTGAAAAGGCCATTATAGTTGTATGTATATTTTTGTTATTTTACCGTTGTCTTTACAGCTGCTGCTGCCACACTTCCGATACACTCTCCACATAAACACTGGAGGGCGAACAAATCTCTTTGGACCTGAAGGGCCTTTAAGTATAGTAAGGTTACTCAACACCTTGAGCACTCAGAATACTACGTACTCTTGCCACTACTACTGCTATATACTACTACTACTTTATCATTGCCATATGTTCTAGCCTCTCATTTTGAAAAAAAAAACAGTTGTTTGGTACTTTGTAATGTCTCATTTTATATACTTCTGCATTTTCTATCTCCAGAGTTCACCTGGATATGATGGTCTGATAGTGTTCATGAAAAAGGCTCTGTCTGAGCTGACCTACAACTCTCTCTGTCTGCCATACAACATCACTGCCCGAGGACTGGACTCCATCCCCAACTTCTACTACAGAGATGATGGCATAAAGCTGTGGAACATCATCAACAGGTTAACTCTGAAGGAATTGTACAATTTCATTGTTTCTGTATTTTTTGATCACAAATGAAAACATACTTTTAAAGTCTTATTTCATTGTTTCGTATCTACCAGCTTCGTGAGTGCAGTGGTCAATCACTTTTACCCTTTAGACATTGAGGTCCAAAAGGACACAGAGCTGCAGGAATGGATCAGTGAAATATTCACACACGGCGTCCTGGGGAAAAAAGCCTCAGGTGTTTACACTTGTCTAAAATAATGCATAAGCACAGCCTGTATGCAGAATGTAGAACATTGATAAATATTGTTTATTTTCTGAACTGCTGTTACTGTTGACAGGATTTCCATCACACTTTAATACTGTTGATGAAGTGATCAAGTTCATCACCACTGTGATCTTCACAGCAACAGCTCAGCATGCAGCGGTTAACAATGGACAGGTAAGGAAATAGTTACAGTTTCAAGGCTTCAGATTAATGACACAGATCCCCAATCTGCTTTAAATGTCAAAATAGTTTTAATACCCTTCTAGCAAGGATGTAGTTCGGCTTTACGCAGCTGCAACTTTGCATATATATAAAAATGTATCCTCAAAGCTAAAGAGATTTATATTAAAAATGTCTTTGAAAAATACAGTACGACTACAATTCCTGGATGCCCAATGGCTCACTCCTGCTCCTCAAACCTCCGCCAACCACTAAGGGGCAGTCAACGATGGAGACCATTCTGGAGACCCTTCCAGATGTTGGAGAGACTGCCATCTTTGCAGCAATACTTTGGCTGCTTTCGGACAAATACACTGACGAGGTAAGACAGAATCTGTCCCACCCACATTTTTGAACCTGTATTACAGATTGTAGCCTCTGCAGACTGAAATATTGTCCCTTTTTTAAAATTGTTTTCGCAGGTTCCCTTGGGTGCATACCCTACAGAGCGATTCGATGAGCCTGCTGTTCAACTAATGATTAAAGAATTTCAGGCGGAGTTGTCCTACCTCAGTGAGGAAATCAAAGCAAGAAATTCAAAGCTTGAAATACCTTACAATTATCTGAACCCAAGCGAGATAGAGAACAGTATTACTATTTAAAAAAGACAGTCTGTGTTAGGTTTCCCTACAGCTCCCACCAGCTTTGTCATGTATTGATGTTACATTTTAAAATTTGTATGATTTAACTGCTGGAGACTGTAGGTGAAGTGTTGCATGCAGACTAGATAGACCAGCTAAATTTTCAGCTTTATCTTATTTGTCTTATTTGCTTTAAGTTTTCAATATTAATATAGTCCATAACATTTAGTCAGTTATCTAGGTTTGATTATTTGTGTGTGTTTGTATTGTCTGAAACATTTTTACTTTCCTCTACAATTTATTGCATAAAAAAAAAATGTCTATTAGCATTCCAGAGTAAAACCTTTAAATCATAATGTTATCAGTCATACCAAAGTTCAAGGTTAAAATCCATTACATCCTCATGTTCATCATCACCACCAGCCCCCAAACTGATGAAACTCATTTTAATGATCAACGTTTTCTTTTTCCCAGTTCATAGAAACAGCATTACATTTTTTGTCATTGTAAATCAAAATGCTGATACATTTAAGACATTAGTCAAATAAAGATTCTTACAGAACTTCTTTCATGGAGTTTCCCCCTGTGATAAATAAAGTATTCTGAGTCAAAGTCAGAGTCTCTTTTCAAACAAACCAAAAGTTCCTCTCAAGAGTTTTAAATTCTTATCTTGTCAGAGTAACACACTTGTATATTCAGCTCAACTGTGGGCTTATTACACTCTAAATTAGTTATGTCATGAATGTTTATGTTCTTTGCAAATGACTTTTTTCAACCAAAAAAGTTGGTCATTCAGTCCTTGTACACCAGACACACTTTAAACTCTATGATTGACCTGGTAGACTGCTGTAGGACACAGCTGGACTAAAGATAGAGGCATACTGCTTTATAGATTTCTTTTCTTCCTGAGGCATTTTTTGTTTGTTTGTTTGTTTGTTTGTTTGTTTGTTTGTTTCAGACAGCAACTCATATGATCCCTTTACTTAGGCATCATCCTTTTTTGTTGTTGTTGTTGTTTTGGTATGCACTGTGATGCACCCTGTCAGCTGTCCTATCAGCATTAGAGTTCTACAGCCTTGCTGTAGAATTCTAATGCATAGAAGTTATAGGCCTTTGTTTTTTTAACTTTGTGTAATGAAAATAATGAATAGATTGTTGGTAACCCTGGTCAGAAGGCTTCACAAAAAAGCACAAAGGTCAAGCACAAATCTGAAATAAAGTATCCTAATTAAAATTGTATTTTTTGCATTATTTCAAATCGTACTTTTGAAACACCATGATTAAAAACAAATCCAAGCTGATAGGTGTCCAGTAACCCTGGCAGAGTGGGACCTCTTTAGTTACATCACCTCTTTGCTACGGTACGTACCGACCTATCGACCCCACTGACGACTGGTTTATTTTCGGCCGAAACTACAGACTTAGGACTATAGGGTACGATACAAGCGACTTAACATTATAAGTCAGCGACTATACATAATTTAAACATGGTTGTGACGATGTTATTTAGATTCGGTGTCATTCTCACACCGGACACTTCGGATATGGAGGTATTTGTTTTAGGCTCGCGCGAGGAAATGGGTCACTGGGACCCGAACAGAGCGGTAAAGATGAAAGCCTCCCAGACGCTCGCGTCAACCCATGAACCTTGTCTTTGGATCGGAGAGGTGCAGCTGGCAGAGCCGTACAGAGACACGCTGTGGTTCAAGTTTGTCAAAACAGTCAGAGGCGCCTTTATTTGGGAAGGTACGAACCAATATTTCTGTTGTCAATTCTGCACGTTTCGACTTGTGCGTATATATGCGGCCTTGGAGACCTCAGACAGTGTTAAGGAGCCTGTCTCTAACAAGCTCAGACAGAAATGACAGCCTCCATGTTTGTTTCTTGTGTTATATCATTGTCGCCACAAGATGGCGACAAAACACTTTGTGGTGTTCAGATTTCAGCGCACCAGTAAACTTGTATGCATTAGTAAAAGTTAAATTAGTAAGCAGGCTACTAATACCATTAATGTGAAATATTGTTAGACTACTGCAGTTTATATATATATATATATATATATATATATATATATATATATATATATATGTGTATGTATATATATATTTTTTTTTAAATATATAATATAAATATCAGCCCCTCTCCTAATGTTGCGCTATTTCTGTTTTGCTATATTGATAATAATGATGCACCAAAATTAAGTATCATTTCATCCTAATATTGTTGGTCAACAGATGCCAGTTCATCAGATGGTTAACAGATTACCTGTGAGATTAATGTAGATTTAAGTAAAATATCTAAAAAATGAAAAATGTCTCCTCTGTCCCAAAATATCTTAAAATGGTGAGTTAGTCACTATGTTCATTTTGTCTTTCTCAGGCAGTGGTCCCGGCCATGACAGATATTGTACATATGATGAGATGAATGTGGTGGATGGAGTGTATTGCCACCCGATTGATCACTGGATAGAGGAAACAGGACACACAGATGAAATGAAGCACACCACCAGCTTTTATTTCAGTGTGGCCGGTCAGAGGGCCATGCATTTCTCCAGGTAATAGCAGCAGAAGAATATCAATCTACAGGATAGTTTATGGGAGTGCTGTTACTGTCATGTCATGAAGCAAGTAAACAGGGTGTTTTTCCCAGCTGCTGTGACTTAATTTTTGCACATTAGTCACAAAAATAGAGATTTTCTTTAATAAATGGCCCAACTTTTTCCTGTAGTTATCAAGTTTTCAGCCTTAAATGGAGTAAAATCCACAGCATGCACGACGCTATATTTAATTTAAACTTAAATTTTAATAAGAATCCATGAGACTAATAAATTACCATGTCAAAGTGTGATTGTTTCTTGAACCACACTGAGAATCCCATCAGCACCCTTCCTCTTACCTCCCTCTTAGATTTCAAACAGACTTCTTTCATACATTCTGTTTTGGTCCCGTCTTCACTTTTGCTTTAATAAAAGTCTTCACAGAGTTGTGCAAAGAGAACAGGGCAGTCATGTCACATTTCTTTCTGCTCCAAGCGAGTCTCTTTAGGGCAGACACAAGCCTCTGTCACCTTCTCATGGTCGTTCTTTGTTTTTTAACCTAGCTCACTCCCATTTAAGTTATAATTGCAGTCTGTTCCTTTAATATCACCGTCCTTTGGAGGAGTAGACCACAGTTCTATTATCTCTTTCTTAACCTTGTTGGTAAAACTGAAGTAAAGGAGAGGGCATCGTTCAGAGTTTTACTTTGGTTCTTCAAGGCAATGTATTCATAAAATTATTTACAGATATGATATATATATATATATACATACAGGGTTTTTCCTGGCTCAAATTGAGGCAGAGGTGGCACCATCCTGACCATGCGCCATGACGTGCATGTATTTGTAAATTCAACTGACTCACTTTCTTTTACAGGCAACATACTTTAAGTTAAGAATTCAAAAAAGAGTGTGACCATTATCATGTTAAAGCATTCATTTATTAAAACTATATACATACACAAATCAGCTGGCAACTTTAAATTGAAAGTACACTTCATCCACACATCTCGCAACCAGACAGAACATTTCAGCCTCCTCTTTTTCATTCTGTAGAACCTCCTCATGCACTCCTTGTAGTCCAAGGCCTCCTGGTCTGGTCCATCAGCGGCCACCTTACAACAGACATCCAAGTGCCTCTCCTTCAGTCTGTTCCGCAGAGGTGTCTTCACCTTAAACAAAACAATTCATCATGCATTAAGTATTTTTGTTTTTATTCTGATACAGACATGAAGAGCGATAGTGTTTAGAAACAGACTATCATATATAATTTATATGTATACGCTGCAGTGTCCTCCCTAAAAAAAACGACAACCAATTATTTCTTAAACTATCTAAACTATGTTATTTATTTTTTGTAACTTTATTAGTTGAGTGTTTTTAGGTACTACCATCTTTAATATACTTCTCCTTCTCTTCTGCTGCTTTGTGAACGGCTGTCACCTCATGTCTTTTTAATGTGTCCAGCCTGTAGTTGGTTGATGGCTGTCTTACTAAGGAGGCAGCGATCGCCTGCTGTGTTGGGGCACAGTGCTTTTGGCATAAATAGCAGTGCATGCCTTCCTCAGTATGCCTGAGCCAGGTAAATTGATTGAGCCACTGCTTGTCAAAGCCACTGGCTCTGTGTTTTTGAGAAGATCTGGAAAGAGGAATAAAAACCACGTACATGTTGGCTTTGCGTTATGCTCCTAATTGGAAACTAATTAATTAATTAATTACCCTCGCCTCGCCGACTCGTCCTGTCCTGCATTCTGACCCTCGCGATCACCAGTCCCTTCTGAAGTACTTTCAGACCTGACACAAATTTCCACATGTTGTCACCACCATGAATTATAGCATTTTAACTGCCTGTTACGTTTTTTCTCTGCTGTGTTTCACCTGGACTCGTGACTTTCCTCCTCGCGAGGTCGCTTTTTAAAGTACTGGCTGATTTTGCCTGTCATATCTGCAATGCTAAAAAACGGAGGAAACTTTTTTTTTAAATAAACACGACATGCTTGGATGCACAAAAGACAAGCAGTATTTACCTGTTTGTACCATCCGCCAGGGAAAATCAGGACGCCGATAGCACCAACTAGCGGGAAAAAAACTTGAAAAAACATGATTCCATCCGTTTCTTCTTCGGTAGATGCTTCAGGTCTTTCCGGTGCACTGCTGTTGATATAGCGCCTCTATAGTGGCGCAACGCTGCAACTGCAGTTAAAATACGTTGCTGCTGCAGAGGGACATCATACGCTCGATCAACACAGCTGGAGCTTTACGCTGTGTTGAGCGAAATCAATCGCTCTGGCTGGGGGCGGCACAAAATTAGGTGGAGGCGGCCGCCACGCAATTTTGAACGCAGGAAAAACCCTGTACATATATGACACTTAGCACATGAGCGTTGATATTCTTTAAGTACTGGCAGTACTGTCCTATTCTTGATTTTGTCATGGAAAATAGTGAAATGTCTATTCAGTGAGACACTTTTTTGCATTATTCATTATGAATACATGAAAATGAATAACTCCTATATAGCTGAAAATCAGTAGTTTGCATGTGTATTGTTACCCTCAGCCCTATTTACACTCAGTGTGGCATTTATGTGTCTGAGGTTGTTAGAGTCAAGCTTTCATGATATAAACACAAAACAAAAAGGGAGAACCCAAGTCTAGAACTTAAAAAAACATTAAAGCTAAATCAAAAGGAAAAACTCACGAGGAGAACAGACGGGGACGACACACATTGACATCGACTGACATACACTGACACTGAACCAACGTTGAGGGAATGCTACACAGGGACTTAAAATTGACAGAGTAACAAGTAACAAGAGGCAGGTGAGACACAACTACACAGATGCAGACAACCATGAAGGAGGGAAAACACAGGAAGTAAAACCAGACTAGACATACATGGATCAACTACTACAAAATAAAACAAGAAGTCTAACTTAACCAGACACTCAAGAGCAGGGAACTACAAAATAAAACAGAAAACACTGAAAACTGATGCAAAGAGTAAAACACTGAGAACACAAGGGTAACAGGCTCAAAGACAAACTGAAAACTCACAAAACAGGATCACAGGGGACAGAAACACTCTGGAAAATACAACTAAATTACAAAACCAGGAAAAAATTTAATACACAAGAACTAATCAAGACACAAGCACTATTTTAATATCCAAGGTTAGCTGTTTTAATCAGTGTCATATCGCTACAAAAACTTTTCAAATTGATAGTTTTGTTGGTTTTGCTGGATGCGTGTTAATCCACTTATACTTGCATGCTCAGCCCCTTGTGCACACCAGGCACAGCTGAAACAAACCCTTGGTGCCTGAGGCAGTAAGCATATATTGTGCATATGAATGAGCTGGCTTGGGTTGAGCCATCAGGTTTTAATTTGTGTCCAAAGACCTCTCACCGCTTATGTCAAGGACCCGTGTTCAGTAGGAGGCACTGTGCCCTTGTATGATACCTACTAATACCTTTTTAAATTACTCTTTGAGACCTTGCATCTGTGTAGCCTCCAGTACCATACGCACTGACCTCTGCAGTTATTCATTATATGAATCAAATAACTTACTGTATTGTAACTGCTGAACTCTGATGCTCATTCAGAAGAAAAGGTCCCTAGAGGCATAACAATTATTTCTGTAATTCTTTGACTGTTGAGCTGAATAACTGTGGTATTTTAGTATCTTAAAATGTTAGTTTTCCAGTCATTGATTCATGTTTTAAATTGCTAAACACTAGAGACAAAAAAAAACAGTTTCCTATAAACTGTGTAAGACATAAATTGTCATTAGAACTGCAGTACTCACAGGTCAGATAGTCATAATATGGTTTTATGCTAATCAGATTTCACTGCAGATCACTTTTTCTGAAACGACTGATTTAGCATTTAGATTGTGTCAGTTTTTTTGTGAAAGCAGAGAGCAGGTCTGTTAACTGAGCCCAAAGAAGAGACTTTCTGGGACTCACAAACAAACAGTGCATTAGTGGTGGGGATCAGAATATGTTTCAAAGCCAGAGAAGCCTACAACTTTGAGCTTGGCAGTTCTGATATCGAGTCTTGTTGATCTTTTAAGGATTTTGTTATGTATTAGATCAAGTTGTATTTCAACTCACTGGTGCACAAACACAAATTTATTGTCAAGTAAAATTAGAATGCCGGCCAACAGGTTTCAAACTAAAAAAAGGAGCTTTGGTGGTCAGATCATGGCCAAACTTGTGAGGAGCTACATTGACCGAAGCAGAACATCAGGAGGAATCTAAATCAAATTGTAACAAAATAATTTCTTGCAAGGGACACAACCTTAATCAGTGCTGTGCCTCAAATTAAATCAAAATGCTTATCTTTGAATTTGACCAGCTTTAAAAAACTCCACTAACCACGACTGCTACTGCTGCTGCTGCTGCAGCTGCTGTGGGACAATAACTCTCCTCTATCACTCAAAGCAGCAGTGGTAGTCCCACACAAACTTTCCCGTTATTCCTGTAAGTTAAAAACAGTAACCCAGAGTGTTGGTATACAGTAGGATAAAGGCCAGTTACCTAACTAGACAAGGCAACAAAAAGTAACAATGTGTGCCTTCTTACTGTCTCCTTCCAGGATTAAACTTGAACATTACTCTAAATGTATAAGCCTCCATAACACATAAACTTGTAAATGAGTGGAGATGACCATAGACTGATCAGGGATCAGGGAATCCATGTAAATGTTTTATATTCCCAGGTCGATGAATGTAATGAAACCCAGCTTGTTGTTTAAGTTTAATTGGCTGGTAAATGTCTTGCTTTGTTTGAATTGATTGTATACTATCCTATTGCCCTCATTTAACATCAGTTTTAAGAGGCTATCCAGACAAGGTTATTGTAATCACACACAAATTACTATACAATCTAAATGGAATCTGCCTCAAGAGATCAGTAAACATTACTACTTTTATAAAAAGATGGACTTCTTAAAATTCTCCACTTCTTTGAGTATCCCTCTCCTATTTGGTTTTCTCCTTTTAAAGCGTTTTAGCTGTTTTCATAGCTTTTGAACTGTGTTTTTGTAAAGTTTTAATCCATTTGCATATTTATTCAGTGTCTCTGTGTTTCTTTCTGCCTTCATTGAAACACTTATTCTAATACCTTCAACTCTGATCATCAGTGGCGGTTCTAGACTAAATAACTCCCCGGGCGAGACCCCCTCCTTAAATAAGCTCAAATAATAAATATACACTACATAAAAGTGGCAAATATTTAAAAAAAAATGTAACAAGACAGTACGAGAGGAGAAGAATAATATAGAATATTAAATAAAATATAGACTAATAATCTTACATAGCAAATCACACAAATTTGAAAACACACTGAAGAAAAAGTGATTGTTCTATGATAAGAAACACAAACTAAAACTAAAACCTGACCTTTCCTGCCTTCCTTGATGCAAAATCAGCAATAATCTCGTCATAAGAAATCTGCTCCCCTATTAACCCATTAAGACCTGAACTCTGTCTGAGCCACGCCTCTGTAATACTGAGGGCCGTTTAAAGAAGGGCCCCCAGATCCAGACGTTTTCTGAAGTGTTGAGGTTTACAAAAAAGCTGATATCTCAGCCTCTGTAGCAGATACAAACAAAATTCAAAAAGTATTTGAGAGCTTACAGGTGTGGCTTTTAAGCCACATAACTATCTTTTATTTGTCCAAACTTTCAACACATTATTGAATAGCTTGAACAAACTTAAATGAAATAAAGCGGCTGTATAAATAAAAGTAAAGACTCTGCACTGGAGAATAACAAATTGTTTGCTTTCTGTAAAACAAGTGGCAGTCATGATAAAGGGTCTATTTAATTCAAATGTAAATATAAAAATTAAAGTGTTGAAAGGGTATACAGCTGCCCTAGTATAGTGCCAGTACAAAAACAGCTCTAAAAAATAAAAAATAAATAAATGAACACTTGGCTGACAGTGTATTCATCTCTGTGCTCACCCAAAGACATGCAACACTCATCGCCGATAGTGTGAGCCTCAGTATGAAGAGGTTGTTCACACTGCTGGATGTTTCTCCTCCAAAGCTGCTCTCTGCCTGTCATTGTTTACTTTCCTCATGACACACGTAGCAAGATCCGAGCATGAATCCGATCGCTTTATTAGCTTATCAGAGGCAGACTGGTATGATGATTTGATTCACCACGACTCCAGAAATGATTAACAAACTACAGAATGTCACAAAATGATGTATCCGCGCTCCCGGCTTGAAGGCTGAAATGCGTACATACTGTCCCGGTTTAAATGGGTTAAGTGATTGATGACGGCAAGGCCAGTGAGCCATTCCTGAGACATGGTTGACCTTAGGTACGACTTTATCAACTTCAGTTTTGAGAAGCTCATCTCTGCTTGAGCCACCGTGACTGGCAGAATGAGAGCAATCCTAAGAGCAGAGCTGTCCCCCACGACCCTTTCCCCGTTTCGTCTCATACAGTCTGTCAGCCTCTGTGCGGCACCTTCGCAGCAAGCAGGGGTGCCTACAGCAGCAGGGGGGCACCAATTTGACAACAAGAGTTAATACAAAACCGCTTTGCGGTGCAGATTTATTATTATTATTATCTTTTATTTTATTTTTTTGGAAGTGCTCGTGCCGCCCCCCCATGAGTCATGACACAAATGCCGCCCCAGGCGGCTGCCCTGTTCGCCTGTGCCTAGAACCGCTACTGCTGATCATATTTATCTCTCTTCTCTTTGCAATTTTTTCATAGAGCCTCATATTGGCAAGCCTCTGAAATTTAGCCTGTGTCATATATTATAACGACTTTAGATTAATGACTCCTGTTTATTGCCCTCAGGGTGCTGCCTCGTGTTTGGCTGGGTAGCTGCCCTCGACAGGTGGAACACGTGACCATAAAGATGAAGCATGAGTTGGGCGTTACAGCAGTGATGAACTTTCAGACAGAGTGGGATGTGGTGAACAACTCCAGTGGCTGCAGACGTGACCCTGGAGAAATCATGACCCCTGAGACCATGATGTATCTGTACAAAGACTGTGGCCTGGTTTATCTGTGGATACCTACACTTGACATGAGCACTGAGGGTGAGTGGGTAGATGAAGATATGCTAAAATCATCAAAGCAATATGCTTAGGGTGAAAAACATCTGGGTGGTCATCACTCTTTTAAAAGCTGCCCCTGTCTGTAAACACTTTTACCTTGGCGGCAAAGGGTGAGCATTTCTATTGTCTACAGCATAAAAGATTCTTTGTTGGTTTCAATTTGACACTAAGGGTTGTAAAGAGTCCAGTGACTATTATGTTGGTGTTTGTTATAATTCCTCACACTACAGGAGTTAGATGGACTTGGTTGAAGTTCTTGCCTCTCATAAACTGTTTCAATAATGACTTGGAGAGTTGGAAAATCTTTCATTAACAAAACACAAAAAAGGTTTCTAACCTTGTCCTTATGTGACCACATTCTGAGCCCAGACGTCCCTGCAGTATACACCACCACATGGTAATACCACCACATTTGTGGCCAACCATAAAGGCTATCAGAAAAAAAACGGCATTGCAATTTTTTCTTTCTGTGACTATTTATGGTTATATTAAAAAAGTTTAGGAAATTAAGCCATATCAAGATAGAGGTTAATTTTCTGTACATAAACACAATTAAAAGTTAATTATTGTTTTTTTGTATTTTCTGTTAACAAAACTAATCTAATCTCTTGAATTTCCCTTCGGGGATTAATAAAGCTCTTCTTATTCTTATCCTCATTTTCACCTTATTTGGCCTTTTACCAAATCTGTCACTGCATAATGGGAAACTCAAGCATCGTCAGCCATAACATTACTCAGTTTGTGACATCAAGAAGAAGTGTGTGTCTTTATGTTGTTCTTCTTGTTTTACACATCACATGTTTCGCATGAAGGGAGGGGCTTGGAGTAGAGTCAGATGAGGTGGCTCGGGCATCTAACCATCTAAGCTTTGTGAGGTGTTCAGCATTTCACTGTTTCTTCTAAATGCACGTTATATCCAACAAAGCAAGGTCAACAAGGCTTCCATCTAACAGGTAAAATGTTCATGCTGGGTGAGACATTTCGGATTGCATACAGTAAACAATGTACATATTCACGACAAGAGACAAAGATTTTGCGATGTGTTTATTGCAGATGCTCATTCTGCAATGTTGGTGCAACTTGCAGCCCTTGCATCCATAATTCCTTTTTATTCCTGTCAGTATGGTAACTGAGTTTAAAATCTTGTAGCCTGATCAAAGATTGAGACCAACACATAAAACAAAATTTGTTGAAGAAATATAAAATCATCCAAAGTAAAGAGACTAGTTGCGCACTTTTGTTGTTGGTGTTTATTAAGGAGACCCCTGCAGCCCTGTCTTCTCAATGTATAATATACTATATTATTATTTACTCTTGCAGGTCGGATCAGGATGCTTCCCCAGGCTGTGTTCTTGCTCCACGGCCTCCTAGAGAACGGTCACACCATCTACGTCCACTGTAACGCCGGAGTTGGCAGGTCAACGGCAGCTGTGTGTGGCCTGCTCATGTACGTCCTGGGTTGGAGCCTGAGGAAGACGCAGTACTTCATTGTAGCCCGCAGGCCTGCTGTGTACATAGATGAGGAAGCTTTGGTTCAGGCTCAGGCTGATTTTATCCGAAAGTTTGGTCATCTACGATCATCCATCTCTTACCCCGAGTCATGAGAGAGAAATGTCTTCAAACTGGACCTCCATTTACTCTGAGGATAAGAATTACTGGACTTTTTGTGTTTAAGAACATACTGTACAGTCAGCACAAAAGGTCCCTAAAGGAGAAAAAACCTATAGCAAGAAAATGAAGTTTCTCTAACTTCAATTTAACATACATAAATGACCCACTTCAGTTGAGTGGCTTTCCAATTCAAGTTGATCCCAAAGTATCTGCACAGAGGTCTGCTGGCTGCCAGCAGAGATGTTGTGAGCAATTAATCCGACAGTGACGTGTTAACTTTTAACTTCAGGAATTAGTCGTTGCACCACTTTAACACATTCACTTGCAAAGTGTGCTCTTGAAATCAGCCAAAGTTTTCAGAGGGTGTTTGCAGGTTTGATTGGAAAGACCTTTTATGAATGTGCTGTTTTTCCCTGTAATAACCGTTAAGTTAAGCTGACATTTGAGAAGGCTATCGACGAAAAACTGTGCAAGAAAGAGAAAAATAAATTTTCAAGGATTGCTTGTGCTTTTTTATGCAAAACTTGCTTTATGGATGTAAAATGATTTGTCGTGGTCCTTTTTTCTCCATGGTGAGAGGTCTAAAGTTGCATGAAAATGGCCCTCCTTGCCAAAGCAAAAAAAAAAAATCCATTTTCAAAACTAAAATAACAACAATGCCTCTCAGCTACCAGACATTGAGGAACAAAGCCCCACCTCTCTCACTCTGAGAGCGCTAGATAACATTTCATCTTTATTTTGCTGAACCATCTGCCAAATAATAAAAATAACATCCCTGCCTGACTATAATAATGCATTCATAATAAGATGTTATTGGAATACAGCTGTAAATTTTCTGCTTTATGTTTAGACTTCTGTTGAGGATATATCGCTTATTTAAAACACAATGGTTTTGCTGCTGGATCTTGAGTTGACAAAGTTATTGCATCAGTGAAGAGGAAAGAGTTTTCACTTAAGGCACACGCCATATACTGTTTAATTGCTTTGAACTGAGTCCCTCCAGAAAACAGCACCTGATGAGGGTATTATGAGGGATGAGTTGGTGGTATAAACATACAAATCAGAAGGGATTTCCAAAAGTAAAGAAAGGCTAATACAGAATAGGAAATAAGAGAAATCGGCATCTTCTTTTAAAAATCAGCATGGAAACTGGTTTAGGAGAGATAAGGGATGCATGATACGACTTTTTGTAAGTCTATGAAGATGATAAATTACATACAGTATACTGATAAGATTACCATTGAATAGTTTTTATTATACACTATTGGTCAAAAGTTTAAGAACACCTCAATTTTTCCAGAATTTGATTGAAAATTATGCAGTTTAATGTTTCAGTGTACTCTGAAATTAATGCATAGAACAAATCAACAATTGAAGCTAAAAAAAGAGATCATAGTATCAATTTAGAAACAAAAATGTATAATAAACTTTTGACTCATCAAAGTAACTGCCTTTGGCAGACATAACAGCAGAACACACTTGTGGCATTCTTTCTACAATGGAAATCAAATAGTCTTCAGAAAGTTCTTCCCAACTCTGTTTCAGAAGTTTCCATAAATGTGTAGCACTTGTTGGTTGCTTTACTTTCACTCTTTTGTCCAGTTCATCCCAAACCAGCTTGATGGGGTTTAAATGGGACCTGTCATCAAAATTTCATACCATTTTTATCATTTTTTCATAATCCTTGATGTCCTCTGATCATGTTTGCAACATGTTTGTTGTCATTTGATGGTTTGTTTTTAGTATGCCTAAAAAACCTTACAGGAAAACCAACTGATTTTGGCTCATTAACATTTATGTAAATGAGCTTTGCTCTGATTGGATCACTGCTGTGACACCTGCTGTGCTCTGATTGGCTCAGCAGTGGAGGTTCGGATTTCAGTTTATCCATTTTGCTAATGTGTGCTAAAGTAAGGTGCAAGATAAAGTGGCGGCAGGGAGGGTGCAGGGGCTGCAGGGGCTGCAGGGGCTGCGTGATCACAGACAAAATCTCGGTACTATTTAGTAGCAGCGCATGCCCCTTGTAATAACCCCCATAAGAACTGTTGTTCAGGACTGTTTACTTGTGCTTCCTACCCAGTGGCGGCTGCTGGTCTTTCAAGGAGGGGAAGCTCATTCTTCTGGCCTACATCATAATTGTATTTGTTTATTAGTATGTAACAGAACAGAGTCGCCAAACACAAAGACAAAAGTCGCTGAGGATCGGTAAAGTCTCTGGAGCAGTTAAGAACAACGGAATGAATGACTTGGAAAATGCTCTGGCAGATGTTTTATTCTTCAAGATCGCTGATTCGCTTGTTTAGCTGTCAATCAAAAAAGGATTTCGCCTCAGACAGCTCATCCAATCATGGATGCAGAAGCTTGGAGTCCGGGAGAAAGTCGGGACCGCCCTCTCGCCATAGAACTCCAGTGAAGCTGGGCTTCCATTGGGCGGGACAAAGCCCAGCATTTATCCAATGAGCGTCTATTTTCGCTGCTGGAACAACCCACTTTGAGCTTCCACATTGAAGTCAGCAGAAGCCCAGCGTCCGACTGTTTGAAGCGCTGAGGCGCTGCGAGGATGAATGAGAACGAAGTTATGCCGGTTACCTGTGATTATCAGCTTCTTATCACAGTGTCTGAACAAAAGTTGAAGGCATTCTAGTGCGTATTTAGTTAATGAAATGTACACACAGCCGTACGTATTTCACCACTTTTTCTTTTTTTGGGGGGGTCACATTTTAAGGGAAGCCGAGCTTCCCTTGCAGTCTTAGAGCAATCGCCACTGTTCCTACCCATTCGGCTACTGTAATAACCTTTGTTCGAGCCCACACACAACATTTTTGCTCTCATTCATGAAACGCTTAAATTGGGGACATTTTCGGGGACAGATTTTGCCGGGGATAGGTCATCCAATACGGGGACTGTCCCCGGAAATCGGGGACGTCTGGTAACCTTATGCTAAAGGCTAAAAATGGCAGGTATTACACCATACATTTTAGACCCCGAGTCCAAAGAGGAGGTGGAAGTTGAAGAAGAAGCCAGAGATCTCCAGCTGTGTTTTCATTCATTCTGCCCAGCTTTAAGTTCATTTTCCCGGCAGTGAACCCAAGGAAACACTGGTCGTTTGGAGGAGACCCATAGCGGGTACAGTGGTAGCTGGGTCTCGCTCTGGCTGGAGAGTGATGTTGACTGTGAATGAGTACGAGAACGAGAGAGTGGGCGCGGCTCACCGAGGACGCGCTCCTGAATAATAATGAGCAAGGTCAGCGTTACGTCAAAAGGACCTGCTTTTTCAACAGTTCTGATGTCTCAGCAATGGCTTCCTTGCTGCAACTCGACCCATCAAGCCTGCAACTCCAAGTCCTCTCTTTTCTTGAAACTGAGACTTGCTTACTGTGACCACTATAACGCTGTGCTTGAAGCTGTTGTCCTGTGAGCCATCTGTCACGCAAGCTGTTGACTCTCAGAAACTTGTCTTCTGATGCTGTTGTGGCTTTGGGTCTGCCAGACCTCTGCCTGTCAGCATTTCCCCCAGTTTCTGAGTGCCTTTTGATGGTAAAGGAAACTGTACTCACTGACAGTTTGACTTTCTTGGCAATTTCTCTGTAGGAAAGACCTACATTTTTAAAGGGGACCTGCCATCAAAATGTAATTTTGTGTGTTTTTTGTTTCATATAAGGTCCATATTATGTTCTTCTTATGTTGTAAATGTGAAAACAAACCGTTACATCGTTTGCATTCTGTAAAGGTTTAAAATAAAGAAACGGGTAAACCAGGCCAATTGAAAAAGCAGGTCCCTCTGAGGTCACGCTGACCTTGCTCATTATTATTCACGAGCGCGTCCTCGGTGAGCCGCACCCACTTTCTTGTTCTCGTAGTCATTCACAGTCAACATCACTCTCCATACCAGCCAGAGCGAGACCCAGCTACCACTGTATCCGCTATGGGTCTCTTCCAAACGACCGGTGTTTCCTTGGGTTCACTGCCAGGAAAATGAAGTTACGAGAAAACACCGCTGGAGATCTCTGGCTTCTTCTTCAACTTCCACCTCCTCTTCGGACTTGGGGTCTAAAATATATGGTTTAATACCTGCCATTTTTAGCCTTTAGCATAAGGTGACCAGACGTCCCCAATTTCCGGGGACAGTCCCCATATTGGATGACCTGTCCCCGGCAAAAGCTGTCCCCGAAAATGTCCCCGATTTAAGCGTTTCATGAATGAGAGCAAAAATGTTGCGTGTGGGCTCGAACAAAAGTTATTACAGTAGCCGAATAGGTAGGAAGCACAAGTAAGCAGTCCTGAACAACAGTTCTTACGGGGGTTATTACAGGGGGCATGCGCTGCTACTAAATAGTACCGAGATTTTGTCTGTGATCACGCAGCCCCTGCAGCCCCTGCAGCCCCTGCACCCTCCCCGCAGCCGCTGTCACCGCCGCACCGAATATCCCTGTACTGACCGATATCATTACAGACATCAGGGCACCTTACTTTAGCACACATTAGCAAAATGGATAAACCGAAATCCGAACCTCCACTGCTGAGCCAATCAGAGCAAAGCTCATTACCATAAATGTTAATGAGCCAAAATTAGTTGGTTTTCCTGTAAGGTTTTTTAGGTATACTAAAACAAACCATCAAATAACTTTTCAGCTAAAATTATGTTGCAAACATGATCAGAGTGTGTTGTCTTCCTTATTTTATAATAACCAGACGAGGCGTGATTACTCAGTTTGCATGTTTACTTAACAGCACCTGCATACCAACAGTACAGAGCTACGTTCATCGCTTGCTCTTGAACACCTCTCGCGTGCTACCATACATGCACCTGAACACTTTTGCATGCTGGGTAATGGAGTTTTAGAGCTACCATGCTCATAACATCACATCCTTCTCCCTATAAAGAAACAATATTTACCCCTTAAAACATAGCCATCTTAAAGTGCCTTTTGTCAACAACTTTTCACTTTAAACACAATTTAAAAAAAAAAACAAATTATAGTGTCTCTAAGCAGCAAAACACCAACTTAGAATCATATCAACATTTTTTTTTTTTTTTTTACACCAACATTTCTCTTTTTTTTTTTTTTTTTTTTTTTACTTTTTGTGCATAAACATGAACTGAAAGGTCCTAGGTGTTCGGCAACTTGCAATACTAAAGCAACTCCTTAGCAACTCTCAATCAACCTCTTAGGTGGCTGAACATGCCTCTTATGTCTAGTTAGTTTTTCGACAGTTGGCAATGTCGACAGTTTGGAAAGTGTCGCAGCAGCCAGGGATGCAGACGCTGCTGTCAGACCACTGTTAGTTAACTCTTTAGATTCAGCCGTGTCCTGCTGAACCATCTCCTGAGCTGCAGTGTCTTTTCCAGTCGGCTGTAGTTGAAGATCCGTGCGATTCCTCTCTAGAGACGTTCCATTCTCCATTTGGATCCTGAAGGAGCGTGGAGCAACTTCCTCCTCCACCTGTCCCTCTTGTCTCCATGTGCCTGTAGAGATGTCCCTGAGACGCACCATATCTCCAGGCTTCAGCATTGGCAGGTGTCTTGCCGTCCGATCATACAGCTGTTTCTGTTTTGCTTTTTGTTCCTCCTTTACTTTTCTGACTTTGTGTGCGCTTTTGGGCGTCAGCAAGTCCTCATTCACTGGTAGGTTGGAGCGAATGCGTCGACCCATCAGCATTTGGGCTGGTGACAGTCCATTCTGTAGAGGCGCACTCCTGTAGATCAGTAAGCTTTTCTGAAAGTCATCTCTGTCCTGTGCTTTTTTCATCATGTTTTTTACTATTTTCACAGAACTCTCTGCCAAGCCGTTGGACTTTGGATAGGTTGGACTCGACGTAGAGCGTTGAAACCCCCATTCTTTGGCAAAGGCCTCAAACTCAGAGCTGGCAAACTGGGGCCCGTTGTCCGAAAACAGTTCACATGGGACACCATGTCTGGCGAAGACAGTCTTGAGGTAGCTGATGACTGCCTTGCTTGATGTGGACTGCAGCGCTCCGACTTCTGGATAGTTAGAAAAGTAGTCGGTGACCACTATGTAACTCTTTCCATCACAGTCAAATAGATCAGTACCAACCTTGTAGTAAGGTCTGTGGGGCACCAGATGAGTCATCAGCGGCTCAGCTTGTTGTTTTGGCCTGTGTGTGCGGCAAAGTTCACATGACGCTGTTGTCTGGCTGATATCTTGGTTGATTCTCGGCCAGTACATTACTTCTCTCGCTCGGCGTTTACATTTGACTTCTCCCAGGTGACCATCCTGTATCTTTTGGAGCATTTGTTTACGTAGGGAGGATGGAATAACGAATTTGCTCCCCTTCATCACTATGTCATCCACCACAGTGAGCTCTGCTCTGCAGTTCCAGTAGTCTTGTATTTTCGTGGGACAATCCTTTTTGTTTTCTGGCCATCCTTTCTGTATTACGCTCTTGAGTTCTTTCATTGTTTCATCTGCATTTGTCTCCCTCTGTATTTGTTCTGTTCTGTCTGCTGTTACTGGCAGAGACGTCATGATCATGTCCACATATGCCTGTATTTCTGCACTTTTCTCGCTGTCTGCACGTTCCTCCTTATCCACTGCTCTAGACAAGGTGTCGGCGGTGTACATGTATTTCCCTTGTGTGTATATCATGTGCACGTCGTATTTTTGCAGCCTGATTAGCATGCGCTGTATCCGTACAGGACAGTCGTTCAGAGGTTTGGACATGATGGACACCAGAGGTTTATGATCAGTTTCAACTTCAAAAGCTTGACCATAAACGTATTGGTGGAAACGCTCACATGCATACAAGCTCGCTAACAGCTCCTTTTCAATTTGTGCATACCTGGATTCTGCACCTGTCAAGGCTTGAGATGCATAGGCGACAGGAAGCCACTGCTCATCATGTTGCTGCAACAGCACTGCTCCCAGGCCGAACTGTGACGCATCCGCTGAGATCCTTGTACTTCTCTCTGGGTCATAGAATTTTAACACGGGTTCCTGTGTCAGAATCTCTTTCAGTTTCACAAAGCATTGTTCCTGTTCATGGGACCAGTTCCATTCATTCTTTTGTTCAAGAAGACTTCTGAGAGGTGCTGACTGCGCTGACAGTTGTGGGACAAACTTGGCGAGATAGGTGACCATCCCTAGAAATCGTCTGACTTCATCTTTGTTTTTTGGTCTTTCTATGTTGTTGATTGCTGACGTTTTTCTCGGGTCTGGCTTCACTCCCTCTTCACTGACAATGTCTCCCACAAAGGTAAGTGTTTTCACTCCGAACTCACATTTGTCTTTGTTAAGCTTCAGATTCACTTCCCTTGTCTTGTCTAGCACTTGTCTCAGTCTTTCATTGTGTTCTTCTCGAGTAGACCCCCAGACTATGACGTCATCCATCATTGTCTACTCCTGGTATGTGCTCAAAAATCATGTGAATAGTCTTATGGTAGACTTCAGGCGATGACAAGATACCGTATGGCAGACGAAGAAACCTGTACCTGCCCTCGGGTGTGTTGAACGTGCACAGCCTCAAACTCTCCTCATCTAGCCTCAGCTGCCAGAAACCTGACGAAGCGTCTAGTTTACTGAACCATTTAGCTCCAGCAAACTGTGCCATGATTTCTTCTCTGGTTGGTAACTTGAAATGTTCTCTTTTGATTGCTCTGTTTAAGTCCCTTGGGTCCAAGCACGTTCTCAGAGCACCTGTTTTCTTTTGCACAACAACCAGTGAGCTGACCCATTCAGTTGGCTCATCTATTTTCTTAATGACCCCTAGCTTTTCCATATGCACCAGTTCATCTTTCAGTTTATTCCGCAGTGCGAACGGGATCTTCCTGCAAGGATGCACAACAGGAGGCATGCTTTTATCCACACATATTTTGTGTTCTCCAGGTAGACATCCAAGTCCTTCGAAACAGTCTTTATACTCCTCCATGAGTGAGTCATGATCATTTGCAGTATCTGGCGATGTCACTACAAAAACTCTTTTGACAAGATTGAGCTTTGTACATGCTCTTAGTCCCAGGATTGGTTGTGCACTCGTATCTACGATCAGTAGCTGTGCTTGTATCTGTTGACCTCTGTGTCTGAAGGTTGCGATGCATCCACCTTTAACAGGAACGCGTTCTCCAGTGTATCCTGTCACTTTTGTTTTTATAGGATGAATTTTGCTTTTCACAGTCAATGTTTTGTAGTCTTCCCAAGATAGCACGTTTACATGAGCACCTGTGTCTAACTTGAATGGTATTGTCGTCTTATTCACTTCGATTGGCACAATCCATTCCTCTCTTTCAGTTGCACAAGCCTGTACCACATCCACAATGAACTCCTCATCATCATCCTCTTCTTCCTCATCAACTGTGTGAACTTTCTGTTTTGAAGCTGCTTTGCAACATCTTGCATAGTGATTGCTTTTTCCACAGTTGTTACAGGATTTTCCAAATGCAGGACATGATTTTGGCTTGTGGCTGGCTCCACATTTACCACATTTGAACTCTGCAGATTTTTCTTTCTGATCTTTTTGTTTGGTAAATGTTTTCTTTTTCATCTGTTCTTTGTGTACTGCATGCACTGTTGTTTCACCTCTCCGTAGCTCTTTTGCTTGTGCTCGAGTGGTTTCTGCTGCTCTGCACATAGTGACACACTTATCTGGTGTAAGTCCAGTCTCTCTGAGCAGTCTTTCTCTGAGTGCATTATCCACTGTGCCACAAACGATCCTGTCTCTCACTAGTGAATCTCTCAGAGTGTCAAATTCACATGTTTTACTTAGAGTGTGAAGCTCTGCTAAGTACTGATCAAAAGGTACTCCTTGCTTTTGGTCATGGGTGAAAAACTTGTACCTCTCAAAGGTCACGTTCTGCCTAGGCACAAAGTACTCTTCAAATTTTGTCATTAGCCCTGCTAAAGTCAGATTAGCTTAATCTAGCCAGAAGCTATTATATATGTCCAGAGCATCTTCTCCCATCACATGCAAAAGGATATGAGCTTTCAGTTTTTCATCATCCCCTCCTGCTCCGCTTGCTGCTAGATATATATTAAATCTTTGCTTGAAACGCTTCCAGTTATCAGCAAGATTACCAGTCAGTTGCATGGAAGTGGGTGGACTTAGCCTATCCATGACTGCACGTCGGGGTACCGAGACTTCCACAGCCCTCTCCTGGTGCTGGTTGTCCTCCGATTCGGGCACAAGATCCTCTTCTACTTGTTCGATCTGTCCCTCGTCCCCTGCTTCACTTCCACCGCTGCCTGCGTTGTTAGCCCGTTTCACTCTGCGACCGGAGACTTTTTTTTTTTCTTTTTTTTTTTTTTCGTTCCGTGGCTCTCCCGTGGCAAATCTTCCGTCCGTCGCTGCTCACGGCCACTTCTGACACCATGTGTTGTCTTCCTTATTTTATAATAATCACACAAGGCGTGATTACTCAGTTTGCATGTTTACTTAACAGCACCTGCATACCAACAGTACAGAGCTACGTTCATCGCTTGCTCTTGAACACCTCTCGCGTGCTACCATACATGCACCTGAACACTATTGCATGCTGGGTAATGGAGTTTTAGAGCTACCATGCTCATAACATCACACAGAGGACATCAAGGATTATGAAAAAATGATAAAAAATGGGTATGAAATTTTGATGGCAGGTCCCCTTTAAGTGTTATGATGGTCTGTCTCTCTTCTATCATTAACTGCCTTCTTCTCGCTGTTTTTATAGTAACATACTACTTTCTGCAGTACACAACTGTTCAAACAATGCTTACAATGGTATGGTACCACAGTGTGTTCCAACATTACTTTTATGCAGGCAGAGGGGGTTGTAAGTGATCAAGAAAAGTTGGGTCTTGATCAACCTCCATTGCTGCAGAACTTCTTTAGGTTGTTAACCCATTTCTTGTTCCCTAAAAAAAGCCTTTTTGTATAATTCTGAAATGAACAATATTTTTTCAGTTTTCGTTAACCTTACCTTTCTTTATTTACTTCTGGCAGTTCTCCACTTACCTTTGTACCATTTAAAGCTGTTCATTGGACTTGAACTGCTTGAATTTCAATAAAAACTGGAAAATTGGGGTGTACTGTACATATTTGGATTTTTAATATGTGTAGTATGTTTTGCACTCCTGGGTAAAAAGGGCTGAGATTTAATGAGACATAGTGCATATTTGTTAATCCTACATACAAAAAAAAAGTTCGGAATCTTAAATTGTCATTTGCTATAAACTGAACGGTGCATGCAACAGTCTCTTTTTCATACTTGCTGAACTAACATCAGAGCTCCAGTCCAATTATCTGTGAGAAAACTTATGTCGCTGGAGTCACACTTATGTGCAGCAGAGTTTTGCAGCTCAAGGAAGAACATTTCTGATTTTGACTTCATGGAAATGCAATCAGATCAAGACACTAAGGCAGAAGAACTACCGCGTCTGCAGTGCAAAATGATTATCTTGATGATTATTACTTCAAGGAAATGATCCGCTGCACTCAGTGATTGACTCGTCAGGGCTCCCCACAAACAAGCGACCGCTGGAGGGGAGTGGGTGTGTTGTGTTGGGTCTCTTTGTTAAAGAAACCGGGCAAAGCTAAAAAGATGTTTTGTGGCTAGTACTATGGCTGGGACCCTATATGTACTGTTGATGAAGTTAGGTGCTGTTCTGTGTACAACTGTGCACATGATTATACCAACTCAAACTTAATGTCTTGTAGTGTGCAACTGAACATGCAAGTATCTCAACCAAACATGTTTTCAAGGCTGATTCGGTCAGCCTCGGACACCACTGGAATGACCATGCAGGTGGTGGGAGGCATCTTAAACGTTTTCAGCAGGAGAGAATAAGAGGACTTGCTTAACCAAACCAGGAGCTGAGGACTCAGCTTCAGCTGGCCCAGCTGCAAATCTCTAGTCATGAGCAAAAGATCAACCAACACTCTGGCCATCTTGAGTCCGGGGATATGAAAACCGTAAACTCTGGGATCAGGTGGAGTACTTGACTGGAGAACTTAACAATGCCTACTCCATTGTAACCATAGACTGTATATAAAACGGACAGAGTCTGCCTCCTCGCTGGGTGAAGCCACTCCGAGAACAGCACCCTCTGTTGATGGGCTGCAGTATAGGTCATAAATCCTGCCTCCGCCAGCAAAGCTTATGGGGCTGTGGACAAACTTTAGAAATTTATTACACAGAACGTAAATTTTTCTCCCCCCTGCTTGTGATGTTGACATGTAGTTACAGTAAGACTGGTTTGTGCTCAAATCCTCTTTTTTCTGTGAAGCTCCGTTTTTAAAAGTTATTAGGGGGTTCATGTTTGCTATGATCGACACCTGATACAGCCTATGTAGTCCTTGAGCCAGACCAGATGTCGGTACCACTTGGGTGGGCAAAACCTTACATATTCTAAATTGTTTTTAGGGTCAATTTAAGTAAATTAAAATATGATAGACTTTTCATAGGGGTAGCTTTTTATATTTTTTCTCATTTTGTTATTTTCCTCAATAGGCGAATTTTTGTTAACTCCAAAAGCAACACAGAAAGTCAAAAGCACATTAAAAGTCACACTCTTTTTGGGTCACACTGCTCTTTTCTATAAATGAATCAAACCTGTGTCTAATTAAATGAGTTGATGAAGTGGGAGTGGCCCGATTTGATGGTGGAGCAGTTCTTTCAGGTATCATAGCACTTGAGCTAAGAACCAAAATTTCACATATCGGTACCACCTGGGTGGGCAAATTCTAGTTGTGATTTTTTTATTGCTATACATCCCTACAATAAGTTTTTATATGATAGACCTTGGTAACTGGTAGCTTTATTGTAGTTATCACTCATTGAAGTAATAGAGTGCAGCTGTTCAAAAATGAAAAATCGCCTTCCTTCAAAATTAGCTTTCTTTAATTTTAATCTCTCATTTAGGTGTGTTTGAACTATTGGCTAGCCATAGAGACTTGTAATAACCCCCTAAGTAGTATTTCAAGTAATTTATCTAATACAGGTGTGTATATATAAGCTTCAATTAGCCAATTGTCAGGTCTAAATCAAGGTCTAAATAAAGGATATTTTTTTACTTAGAAGTAGAAGTAAAATAAATGCAGACTAATAGCATTATAATAACACAACTTTAATATGACACTGACATATTTTCAATGCAGGAACTCAATATACAATCATCCTGGCTGGTGCAGGGCAAGAAGACATTAGCAACAAAATAAGATCCACTGATGTATACACTCTATGCAATCATCTGAGAAAACTCCAATTCCTATTCAAAGTCCTATTCTTTCCATAAGGAACAGTGACAGCAAATTTGACTGTCAAGTTTTGGCTTAGTACATAATTCTGTCACTGAGTCACAGTGGGTTTGTTAACATAGCTCCCTTTGGTCATCATTTATTAATCGACATCAGTATCTGTATCTTCTTCTACATCTGAATCTGCCGGGTGTGCAAGGGGCTCTTCCTCACTGTACTGGTTGGCAGAAGTTTGTAATTTGCACAGGTTTGTGCACTTCAGCCCATTGCTGAGACAGGTGCAGTCTGGTGATTTGCATGTCCTCACACACTTGCAGGATAGTAACTCCAAGACCGAAGAAGTAAAGTAAATGCAGACTAATAGCATTATGATAACACAACTTTAAAATGACAGTGACATATTTTCAATGCAGGAACTCAATATACAATCATCCTGGCTGGTGCAGGGCAAGAAGACATTAGCAACAAAATAAGATCTACTGATGTATACACTCTATACAATCATCTGAGAAAAACTCCATTCCTCCACCAAGAACTTGATGAGACTGGCTTTATTGGCAGGGCTGCAGAGAAGTTTCCTCCACTGCTGAATATTGTGGACAGAAACAATGTTTCTGAACTGGATCCCCATGTCTGCACCTCTGTTTAGTCTTTCTGAATTTTTGATTGACATGTCCTTGTAAACGTCAAAGACAACGTCAATCCTTTCACTATCACCACCTTCATGCAGGACCTTGGATAAAGTTGAGTACAGCCAGCTTCCACCATGTCAGGATTGCGTATTAATGCATTTGATTCGTGCCAACTACCAGGCTGCTATCTGGAGACGGTCTCTTCATACCAAGCCATCCGTACCAAGCCCCAAGGACCATGGGTGGACCATAAATGACGAAGGGCAGCTGGAAATACAGTGGATGCGTGGTTCCCCAGCACCAGATGCAGTCTTGCAGTTGCTATCCTGCAAGTGTGTGAGGACATGCAAACCACCAGACTGCACCTGTCTCAGCAATGGGCTGAAGTGCACAAACCTGTGCAAATTACAAACTTGTGCCAACCAGTACAGTGAGGAAGAGCCCCTTGCACACCCGGCAGACTCGGATGTAGAAGAAGATACAGATACTGATGTCGATTACTGATGTTGATTAAAAAATGATGACCAAAGGGAGCTATGTTAACAGACCCACTGTGACTCAGTGACAGTATTATGTACTAAGCCAAAACTTGACAGTCATATTTGCTGTCACTGTTCCTTATGGAAAGAATAGGACTTTGAATAGGAATTGGAGTTTTCTCAGATGATTGCATAGAGTGTATACATCAGTAGATCGTATTTTGTTGCTAATGTCTTCTTGCCCTGCACCAGCCAGGATGATTGTATATTGAGTTCCTGCATTGAAAATATGTCAGTGTCATATTAAAGTTGTGTTATTATAATGCTATTAGTCTGCATTTACTTTACTTCTACTTCTAAGTAAAAAAATATCCTTAATTTAGACCTTGAATTAGACCTGACAATTGGCTAATTGAAGCTTATATATACACACCTGTATTAGATAAATTACTTGAAATACTACTTAGGGGGTTATTACAGGTCTCTATGGCTAGCCAATAGTCCAAATACACCTAAATGAGAGGTTAAATGAAAGAAAGCTAATTTTGAAGGAAGGCGATTTTTCATTTTTGAACAGCTGCACTCTATTACTTTAATGAGTGATAACTACAATAAAGCTACCAGTTACCAAGGTCTAGCATATAAAAACTTATTGTAGGGATGTATAGCAATAAAAAAATCACAACTAGAATTTGCCCACCCAAGTGGTACCGATATGTGAAATTTTGGTTCTTGGCTCAAGGACTAATGGGCATTCAGGGATTGCGTAGCTCTTCCCGGGGATACGCTGTTTGAGCCGAGCATCATCACAGCGACTCTCGGCGACAGCACGGCCGAATGCGCACATCGCTACTGTGCAGCTCTTTTTTCAGGAAATGAAGAAAATTCCCGGAAATATTGAGAGCTTTTTGGCTTCAAATCCGTATACAGGCGGTAGGCAGAACCAAGTTGTCCATAGTATATACAGTCTATGATTGTCACATACCACCTTGACTTGTTGAAACGAGAGGGGGCAAAGTATGTAGAGAAGCAGGAACACAGGATACAGCTCCAAAATTAAAAAGATTATATAAAGGATCACCTGGCTGATTGGGAGATATTGTTAAAAGGTGCAACAGATGAACTTGTGTACCTTAAACAGTCACACAAGAAAGCATCCCAGAGGTATGAAGCTTTGCTCAAGGAGCAGTTTGAATATGAACAGCGGTCACAAGATGAAAGGATGGTCAATTTGGAGGTTATAATTGAGAATCAGGTGGCTGAAAAAAAACCCTTGTACACAAGAATGTAGTCCTCCAGCAGCAGCTTGAGACAGTAACGTCGTGTGCTGACCAGGTCTTAGAGCACCAGGAGGAGATCCAGAGGCTTATGGCAGAAAGAGATGCCCTCCAACAAAAAAATGACCACAATGAAGAAAGGAAGTGCCGTGCTAAAAGACTGAAGCTAAGGGCTGAACAATCTTTTCAACAAGGAAGAAAGGAGCAGAAGTTGGAACCTCTGCTTGTTGAGGAACCTCTGAAGTTGAAGAAGAAGAAAAACTTGATATTGATTGAGCACATTCCCACAGTATCACCTTCTTAATATATCCATCTAATTTTACATGAATTTCCAACTTAAGCCCATCACATTAGAACTAAAAGAGCTTTTTGGAACAAAAGCGATGGTCTTTGAGAACCTCAAATAATTCCAGTTGCTCTTCCAACGGAGAATTGGAACCTTTCCTTTTTATATGGGATTTTCTCTGGGTGCTCTGGTCTCCCCAAAACATGTGAAGTTTTGACTAAAAGAGCCTTTTGGAACAGAAGTCCTCAAGATCCTCAAACAAGTCCAATTGCCAAATCAACGAAGATCCTGATCTTTTCCCTTTTTATGTGGGTTTTCTGTGGGTGCTCCAGCCCCCCAAAACATGCTTGTAAGTTTAATTTGTTACTGTAAATTGTCCTGGAATCTGACTTTGTGCAGCAGATAATTGCATATTTAAGAGAATCGTTCAAATGGTGATGCAAGCATGAAATTTGGCACAAATACTCTCTAAGGACCACTCTTTTGAAAGATGACGTTAGACACTCGAAAATTACAAATGGCGGCCAATTTTCAAGATGGTAGTCACTTAAGTAGAAAATTGGTATATCAAGTGTAAGTGGGTCACTTGACCAAGAACTGCTCACAGCCACTTGAAATTTTAAGATTGTAGCCATTCTTTGAGATTACCACCTGAATCCCCTAGATGTCCACCATTTCTGTGCAGCGTCATTGGATCTATGAGGACCAAAGGCATATCATTCTTTCACGCCTTCACAGGTTGTGATACTGTATCAGCAAACAAAGGCAAAAAGACTGCATGGCAAACATGAGACATTAGCCCTGAGGCCTCTCCCATCTTCAGCAAATTGAGTCAATAGCCTCCTGTACTGGCTGATGGTGACCTTGAAATCCTGGAGAAGTCTGTTGTCCTGATGCATGATAGATCAACTGTAGCTGTCAGTGTGGATGAGGCTAGACTTGACATGTTTGCCTGAAAGCAGAGGCTATATGAAGCCATTCCCCAAACAAGAAAAGCTCTACTTTAACACACTAGATGTGCTGCATGTCATGGAGGCTTTGCATATGGACTCAGGCAACCCAGCATCAGCCAAAAGCAGATAGTCCTGCAGTGTGAGGATGAAAAAAGGTTGATGAACAATGTTGGGTCTTTTGGACAGCAAATGCACCAGTTGCGCAAAGTGTTGCTGTAAATCAGAGTGCTGTGAAAGGTGCAAATGTGTCAGATTAGGGTTAACCTGCACAGCACTGTGCAGTTGCAAATGTAAATAGAAAAGTAAGCAGCCAGCTTGATGTTTAAGTACATTATCCTCAACACGATGTCCCCAATCTAACCTTTGATGCTGATTACCAAGCAAGGAGGCACTGGGTACCATTATAAAGTCTTTGGTATGACTTAGTCTTTGTGTTTACATGTGAAGACCTATGGCTCAGCTCTTTATCTCCACATCAGTGAATCAAATTTCTACTTAAGTTCATTAGTTCATTTTGTGCAGTTTGCATAAAAAGTACACATTGGAGTGAATGATGTTGTCCTCTACATGCTTCACCGTGCCCTGTTTCACCTGGAGGAACCTGGGATTCATGTGAGGATCATGTTCTTTGACTTTTCAAGTGCATTCAACACCATCCAACCCACCATACTCAAAGACAAGCTCACAGAGATGGGAGTGGATCCTTCCTGTGTTTCTGGGATCACAAATTACCAGACAGGAAGACCAGTTTGTCTGTGGCTCAAGTGGCTGTGAGCAGTTTCTGGTCAAGTGACCCACGTACACTTGATATACCAATTTTCTACTAAAGTGGCAGAAAATTTATCAAATATACAGTACAGGCCAAAAGTTTGAACACACCTTCTAATTCAATGTCTTTTCTTTATTTTTTATAAGACTATTTACTTCTAAACTATGACTAAAACTATGAATGAACACGTGGAATTTTGTACTTTTAAAAAAAGTGTGAAATAACTGAAAACATATTTTATATTCTAGTGTCTTTAAAATAGCCACCCTTTGCTCTTGATGACAGAAGAACTTAGTCAGTCACGAAGTAACCCTGACAGGGCACACCTGTGAAATAAAAACCATTTCAGGTGACTACCTCATGAAGCTCAGTGAGAGAACAGCACAAGTTTGCAGCACTATCAAAAAAGCAAAGGGTGGCTACTTTGAGGAATCAAAAATATAATACATGTTTTCAGTCATTTCACACTTTTTTCTGAACTTCAACTTCAACTTTATTTCATTTATATGGCACTTTTCCTACAAAGTTGTAACACAAAGTGCCTTACAAAGCATAAAAAGAAAATGAAACATTAAAATCCCCAAGAAAACCCCAAACCTCCCACTCGCACAATTATACCCATACACACACCCGTGCACATAGACATACATTCCCACACACACAAATTTACATACACACGCACCTACACAGTTAGCAGCTGATGGTGAGGAGACATGACTGGGCACTGAGATCTGAGGTGAGGAAGACACTACCTTTGGGGGCCACGTCGACCGGGAGGCATCCCGGCCCATTGCTGCAGGGGGCGCCGTCACAGGGACCACCAGCCCGGGCAGACAGGAGGCTCCACACCAAGGTGTAGAGCTCTCTGGTTCCACCCGGGCCAGAGCTGTCCCCAGAACGGCGCCCCCACCAACAGACCAGAACCTGCTCCCGGTGAAGCAGCCCCCAGGAGGAAACACTGGAAGAACTGAGGGACTTAAAGAATAAAATAAGACATAAAAGTATAGAAACTAAAACTGAAGGAATAAACTGTAATCGCTAAGACAGACCCAGTAACTAATGTAAGATAAAATGATTCTGTGCACTGTAAAACACGCCAGACTAAAAATAATAATAATAATATTGATAGATTGAAGTATAAAATAGAACGGTAATAAAAAGTGTTAGATAGTGTAACAATAAAAGTGAGCATAAAAGGGATTAAAAGAGTTAAACTAGTCAGTTAAAAGCCTGATTAAAATGATGAGTCTTTAGCCCCTTTTTAAAAATAATAACATTCTCTGCAGCCCTGAGGCTCTCTGGGAGGCTGTTCCACAATCGGGGGCCATAATAACTGAATGCCGCCGCCCCGTATGTCTTAGTTCTTACTTGTGGGATTTTTAAGAGACCAGCTCCAGAGGACCTCAGGGTCCGTGAGGGTTGATAAGGTAAAAGTATCTCGGATAAATAAAACGGCCCAAGACCATTAAGACACTTAAAAATTAGGAGGAGAACCTTAAAATCTATCCTGAAACGCACAACGGAGCCAATGCAGCGATTTTAAGACAGGAGTAATGTGCTCCTGCCCTCTGGTCCTCGTCAGCACACATGCGGCTGAGTTTTGTTATAATTGTAGGTTTTGCATGTTCTTTTTGGGAAGACCAGAGAGCAGGGCATTACAATAATCCAAACGACACGAGATAAAAGCATGCATCAGCACTTCCGTGCTGGCCTGAGAGAGAAACGGGCAGACTCTTGCTATATTCTTAAGATGGTAGAAACCTATCTTCGTTATGTTTTTGATATGTGGAATAAACGTGAGCTCGGAGTCAAAAATCACACCCAGATTTTTTACAGATTTTGAAGGTTTAAAATCCTGTAACTTTGGTAAAAGTTTCTCTCTCTGGCCTTCAGGACCAATGACTAAAACCTCTGTTTTGTCCTGGTTGAGCTGCAGGAAGTTTGCTGCCATCCATGATTTAATGTCTAAAATGCAGTTAAAAAGGGCATCAATTGGCCCTGTGTCATCAGGAGACACGGTGATGTACAGTTGCGTATCATCAGCATAGCTATGGAAGCTGATGCCGTGCCTCCTGATGACATCCCCAAGGGGTAACATGTAGAGGTTGAACAGAGCTGGACCTGGAATTGACCCTTGGGGAACCCCACACTCAATTTTATGGGTCCTTGAGGAACATGTATCCATACTTATAAAGAAATTTCGATCAGTCAGGTAGGACGTGAACCACTTAAGAACAGTACCAGAGAGGCCAACCACATTCCGCAGTCTATTTAATAAAATGTGATGGTCTACTGTATCGAAGGCGGCTGTTAGATCCAGCAGAACCAACACTGTGAGTTTGTGGTTATCTAAGTCACATCTGATGTCATTTAAAATCTTCAGAAGTGCTGTCTCTGTGCTGTGGATCCTCCTAAAGCCAGACTGATGGGTCTCTAAAAATATGTTTTGAGTTTAAAAAATCATTTACTTGGTTAAAAACGAGTTTTTCCAGAACTTTACCTAAAAATGGTAGGTTGGATACAGGCCGGTAGTTATTTGAAACATTGGGATCCAAATCACTCTTCTTCAGAAGGGGCTTCACCATCGCCGTTTTAAAGGCGGTGGGGAAGACACCCGTCCCGTCTGAAGAGAGCAGTTCACCAAATACAACAGCTGTTCCTCGAAGAATCCATAAAGTTTTTTAAAAAACGGTGTGGGAATTGGGTCTAAAAGGCAGGTTGTGGGCTTTACCTGGGAGAAAACTTGACCAAGTGTCCTCGCATCAACCAGGGCAAAACTTTCCAGTGCTTCCTCGGGTAAACTCGGTGATCCAGGTGTTAAAAGCTGTCGGGATAAAAGACTGGATCGAATGTCATCTATTTTTCTTCTGAAATGGTCTGCAAAATCCTCACAAACGGCATTATCCGGTGTTATGGAGGATCTTTTAAAATTTTTGTTTGTTAAAAGATCTATTGTGGAGAACAGGAATTTGGGATTATTTTTATGGTTATGGATTAGATTTTGGAAATGGGAGATTCTTGCTTGTTTGATTGCGTTATTGTAAATCTTAAGAAGTCGGTGTAATATTTCATAATCCACTGTCAGCTTTGATTTCCTCCATCTCCTTTCAGCACTCCTGCATTCCCTTTTAAATTTTTTAATGCCTTCATTAAGCACATGATTCCACATGTGTTTATTCATAGTTTTTATGCCTTCACTGAGAATCTACAATTTAAACAGTAATGAGAATAAAGAAAATGCATTGAATGAGAAGTTGTGTCCAAACTTTTGGCCTGTAATGTATATGTATTAAGCTGATATGTATTGTGCATCCCTGAATAAAACATCAATGCAGTCCCTGTATGTGCAAGGCTGCCATGATTTTGTCTTATTGGGTGCCAGCGTAATTAGTAAACATGTTGCATTTCATCCACTGGGCTCCTGTCAGTGATTGATGTCATTAAGTGTTTGTAGTCCACTTGATTTTCAGAATATGCCAATCACCAACACCACTTCCCCCTGATCTGTGCATTCAAATTAGAGTCAAAATTAGAGCACATTTGCAACTGTCAAGCAGACAGCTTGTTATGGTGGAGGAGATTTATTCTTCCAGAAACCATGAATGTGCTGAGAGTATGTTCTGTGAACCTGCTGAGTGGATTGAAATGCCCTAAGCTTGTATTTTGATCTTTGTGGCTCTCTCTTTGCAGATGTTTTCTTTCAATATGCTTTTCTAAAACATCAGCCCCTGTTTAAAGTTGCTGTCCTGTAATCCACATAAGAAGAGGGTTATATTTTGCTGACAATATATCTGCATGAAAAGTCCAAAACTGAAACTTGCTGACAGTATTTCAAGAAATCCAGTGTTGCTGTCTATTACTAAATATGAGGGTTAGACTAGGTGCTAAACCAGGAGCTTTTGTGTTATAAGCAATACACATTTTCTGTATAAAAAGTGCCTAAAATGAGTACATAAAACAATCACCTACCAGTATAACCACAGTGTTCATTCATTTCAAATCCCTGTTGACTTTAACTGTTGACGAGGAACAAACAAAAACGACTGATCCACTGAATTCAGATCAAGGACAAAGCTACTGAAGATAATAAAGAATGTTACAGATATGTTTTGGTATTAATAAAAAAATACAAGTCAGGTTGAGGAAGGGAATTAGAGTCTGGCTGGGCTGGTGAGGACTGCAGCCACGGATGGGTGGCAGGCTTATCTGAAAACTAATTGGATGTACATTATGATATTTAGGATATTGACTAATCTGGATTTTACACACACACACACACACACACACACACACACACACACACACACACACACACACACACACACATTTCAAAAGCTTTGAGTCAGTTTTGTATCAGTAAAAGTTCGTGACTCAGTCTGGTAAGAGGAGAACCAAATACCAGGACTAGAACACCTCTCTAAATTGTCTGAAATTCCAGATCCCACCAGCTGGAAAGACTGCATCCAGTAATTGTCAGCAGTGGGAATAATACCAGTTTGCAAACTAGACAGCAACAATCCCCGACAGCTTTGGTGTGTCTTGTGGGCTCTGGATCAGGACTGTGGACAGCAGCTGTGACACATAGGTGCAGTGTTAGTTACAGTCTGTAACCTCTGATTGTCACATTGTCTAAAGCCATGGCACAGCTGGAAAATAAGAGCACAAGGGGGAAGAGTGGATTCTCATACCACCTAAGAATATTAACATCCATTCAGTGTCTGAGTGAAGAAGTATAACTATTTCATACAATTTAGAGCTGTCCCAACACAGATTTCAATCTTGTGATAACCGTGGCCAAAAAATTATCATATTTACAATTATGGTTTAAGCATAGTAATTCTGCATACAATCCCATTTTCAGAAAAATTCCCTGTATTTGAAGTTTGAAGTTTGAAGTTTGAAGTTTATTTCGATCTGGTCATATCCATTCAATATATACAGTAAATTACAAGAAAAGAAAGAGAAAAAGAAAAAGAAAACCAGACCGAAAAGGCATAGGCTGAAGCAAAAGCTTATTAACGCCTATCCTTCTTACTAAATAAAAATATTCAAAACATCTTATTCCACACGTTAGATAGAAAACAAAAACAACACATCAACAAAACAAAGAATAAAAGATGACTCAGAAGAAAGAAAAAAATAAATAAAAATAATAATAATCAAATTAAATCCAGAATATAAATTAATCCATAACCTCAATCATTATTTCTATAATTTTCTATCACCTTGCTTTTAAACAACGATTTAAATTTGTGAATAGTCTGACACGTTTTTAATTCATCGTCAAGGGCATTCCATAAATTCACACTTTAACTGAAGTACACTGTTCTTTGGTCTTGGTTCTAGTTTTTATTTTTTCCATCAAATGTGTCCCACGGAGTTCATACCTACATTCCCTTTTTTTAAACATATTGACAATTTTACACGGCAATGAATTATTATGTACTTTGTACATGGTCTGTGCTATTTTGTAGTCCACCAGGTCCTTAAATTTTAATGCTCTTAGTTTAATGAATAATTTATTTGATGGTTCTCTGTAAGTTGAATTTGTGATAATTCGTACTGCTCTTTTTTGCAAGATGAAGATAGGTTGCGTATGGGTAGGGTATGCATTTCCCCATATTTCCAGGCCGTAGGTGATATATGGGACTACAATTGAGCAATACAAAATATATAAGGCATACTGGTTCAATAAATCCTTTACCTTGTGAATTATGCCAATTGATTTTGCTAATTTTGATTTAACATGATTTATATGAGTTTTCCAGTTCAGTCTTTGGTCCAACGTGACACCCAAGAATTTTGCTTCTGACACTCTTTCAATTTCTCTATCGTTAATGCTCAGTTTAACATCTGAATCTATTTTACGGTTCCCAAATATCATAAATTTTGTTTTACTTGTATTTAACGACAATTTATTTGCATCAAACCATTTTTTAACCAATTTCATCTCCTTTTCAACAGTAGATATGATTTCAGATAAGTGCTCTCCGGAACAAAAAAAGTTAGTGTCATCTGCGAAAAGGATGGAGTTCATATACTTAGACACATTACAGAGTTCATTCAGATACAGGATAAATAACTTTGGACCAAGGACTGACCCTTGTGGGACGCCGCACTTAACCTTCAACAGTCCAGAATCAGTTTTACCCAAAGAGACGTATTGCCATCTGTCACTTAAATAAGAACAAAGCCAAGCGTGAGCTAGCCCTCTGACACCATATTTAAACATCTTTTGAAGTAAAAGGTCATGATCAATTGTGTCAAATGCTTTTTTTAGATCTATAAAAATACCTATTGTGTATAGATTATTGTCAATTGCAGTGGTTATGTCATCTATAAGTTTCATGAGGGCTAATCCTGTAGACTGGTTTGTTCTAAAACCATATTGATTTTCACTCAAGATACTATGCTTCTCTATGAAACTATCCAATCTTTTGTCAAATAATTTCTCAAGAATTTTTGAGAATTGAGGCAGCAAGGAAACTGGTCTGTAATTTGATACCAGATCTTTTCCACCAGACTTGTACAAGGGAATAACTTTGGCTGTTTTCATTTCATTTGGAAATATTCCTGTTGAGAGTGAAAGATTAAAAATATAGGTCAGAGGTCTAACTACAGCTTCGATAGTATCCTTAATTAATGACATGTCGATCCCGTTGTTATCTGTCGACCGTTTGCTTTTGAATGCTGTAACAATCCCCATCACTTCAGTTTCATGAGTGGGAGTAAGAAACATAGAATTTACATTTGCGTCAATCAAATTATTCACATCATCCGCAACAACTGGTTGTACAATATCGCTTGCCAAGTTAGGGCCAACATTTATGAAGAAATCATTAAACTCATTTGCCATTTGTTCCTTATTAGATATATAAATGTCACCCTTTAATATGGATTGAGGGAAATCCTCTTTCCCCATGTTTTTTTTAATCAAGCTGTTGATTACTTTCCATGTCTCTCTTATGTTGTTTCTACTCTCTTCCATCCGCTTACTGTAATAATTCTCTTTACGTATCCTTAAAATATTTGTCACTTTATTTTTATATAACTTATATTTTCTTTCAGCTTTTTCTGTTCTACATCGTATAAATTCTCTATATAGTCTATTTTTCTTTTGTATTACATTCTGTAGGGATTTTGTTATCCAAGGCTTATTTTCTTCTTTGTTTCTGTCCTTATGTGTTCTCAATGGGCAGTTCTTATCATAACACTCTTTAAAGACACGTAAAAATGAATTATAAGCTTCATTTACATCAGCAACATAAATAGAATCCCAAGTTTGTCTCATTAGATCCTTTTTTAGTAACTCCACCCTTTCTGGATTTCTCAGTCTAAATGTTGTCTGAGGTTTTTCCGCAGGGGGTTCCCTTATATTACATTGAAATGTTGTAAAAATTGGTAAATGATCGCTGATGTCTTGGATGAACAACCCCCCTACTGTGGTATCCATGATGTTAGAGTAAATATTGTCAATGAGAGTTGCACTGGATCCGGTAATTCTGCTAGGCTTAGTGATCCGAGGTGATAAACCTATACTAAACATGGTGTCAATGAAATCAGATATTCCTATTTGTCCCTGTGGATTTAATAAATCAATGTTAAAGTCACCACATACAAATACAGTCTTCTTATTACTTACTTTTTCATACAGTTCAACCATCTGTTCCTTTAAAACGTCTATTTCACATACTGGAGCTTTGTAGACACAGCTTATAATGATGTTCTTAACTTTTTTCATTTCAATTTCAACTGTAATGATTTCCAACTTGTCATCTATCCCTATAGACATATTCTGCAGTTCCTTGCATTGTAGGGTCTCATCGATATATAATACCACTCCCCCACCCTTTTTCCTTCTCCTGTTAACATAAAACATATTATACCCCCGCAACTCATAATCTTTTACTATTTCATTTGTTATCCAGGATTCTGAGACTGCTATTGCACTGAATTTAGTTTTAAATAGCTTCAAGAAATCATAGACTTTTGAGAAATGTTTAACTAGGCTTCTGCTATTGATGTGTATAATTGAGAACACACCTACCATTTCAACCTTTATGTTAAATTGTTGTTCAGTGTAATACCTACAATCATTGTGCATAGTATGGAAAAAATTTGTTTCTGGGTCAATGTCCATATCATGTCTTCTTTTTCCAGAATAGTTAAATGTTTCATAATCTAAATCTAGATATGAGTTTAGTGGAGTAGCTTCATTGACCCCAGACATTACATCTGTATCATCACTATCAGAATCTGTCATTGGTTACAATAGGTTAAATAATAACAGTAATCCAGTTCCGCACAAGTCTCATGCATTATACCAGGTAGCAAGAATCCTTCATTCCGTAAAAAGGTCTCAGTTAGCATGCAAAAAATAAGCCAATCCAGAAGTAAAAAAATCAAAAGTAAGTAGGAAAAACAGTTCTGATCCATCATATAGTTTGGGAATGCTCTTCATCAGGATTATCCATGGCTATCAAACCAGCAAACCAAAGCCCTTTATCTGTAGGTGTCAAGTTCATTTATGTCTCTTACCGTCAGTACTTTGGCGACTTCTGGTGACTCTCCATTCAGCTTAATCATCACTTTACAATTACGGGTCCAGGTTGACTTTATCTTATTCTCTTTCCTCAGCATTCGGGCCATTCTTGCAATCTCCGCGTTTCGTTTCGTTAGGTGTTCATTTATGTACACAGCTGTTCCTTTAAGCTTCTTCCCTTGTTGCATTGATTCCATTTTGTGCTTTCTGTTCAAAAAGCGAATGATGACACTTGGTTTGGCGTTGCGATCTTTTCTTGGAAGTGTGTGGCAAGCCACTATTGCAACAGTGTGCAGTTATAACTTTGTGAGCACTGACAGGTTGAGTGAACAGTCGATTCTCTCTAGAATAACACTTCGATGTTGGTGGGTTTTTATTATAGACTGTGTATAGAATGGACTTTCCTTTACCTCCTTGATGGGTTAAGCCTCCATGAAAACAGCATCCTCTGGTGACGGGCTGCAGTACAGGTCACAGATCCCGCCTCCTCCAGCAAACTTAATGGATCTGTGGACAAACTTTAGAAATTAATTACACAAAGTTTTCTCCCCCTTGGTTGCAATGTTGACATGTAGTTACTGTAAGACTGGTTTGTGCTCAAGTCCTCTTTTTTCTGTGCAGCTCTATTTTTAAAAGTTATTAGGGGGTTCGTGTTTTCTACGATTGACACTTGATACAGTGTATGGGCATGAGAAGATTGTGTAGCTCACAAGAAGTATACACTGTTTGAGAAGATTGTCATCACAGTGACTCTCCTGCTGACAGCTACTGCGCAAATGCAGGAATATGGTGTTTGCCAAAGATCCTCTTGAGTTTTTCCAACAGGCCTGCAACGTAAGGGATTACAGTACCAAAGTGATGAATTTAAATCATTTTGTGGCTCTCTGTTTTAGTGACCTGCTGGATTTTCTGTGCAGGTGTAAAAAGCTTTACCTCTCTATGATGAATCAACACCCAGCGCAGAGTGGTCAAGCTAATAGACCTGGGGGGTATTCCACGAAGCTGGCTTAGCTCAAAGCCTGGCTTATTTCGGTTAGCTTGGCTAATTTTGTGAGAGTTATGTAAGATAAATGTAAGATAAGATAAATATCTGCTCCTCACACGAGCAATAATTAGAACTGAAGAAGCCTCTTGATTTTGGAGTTTTCAATATTTTATCTTCTAACACAGTATGACTGATAAAATGCTTTTTCATTTCTTCTGACAGTTTTGTTTTTAAGCTGTTTTTGAAACAGTCAGACCATGCTAAACATGGCAGAAAGATGAGCAAATTTGTTTACCCAGAAAAGATCTTGTCATCTCAATTTCTGTATGATCCACTTAAATACAAACAGTCCCAGCCAGTCCATGACACTCTTTTCATAGTAAACTGTGTTTTTGTTTTTCACAATAAGCTTTTGCCGCTTTTACTTAGCTGGTATTTGAACCTCAACGCCGCCCTTTAAAATGTTTACCATTCATCTTCCATGCAGGTCTATTAGCTTGACCACTCTGCGCTGGGTGTTCATTCATCATAGAGTGGTAAAGCTTTTTACACCTGCACAGAAAATCCAGCAGGCCACTAAAACAGAGAGCCACAAAATGATTTAAATTCATCACTTTGGTATGGGCACCTCTGGTCAATTTACTTAAGATTTTGGACCAGAAGGTCCATTTGCATGGTCTTAGTCGACTGTGTGCTTAAGAGAAGCCCAGAGATGAAGACATTGCTCTTGACTTTGCTCCTGGGCAGAGCTCCAGCCAACCTGGCAGCTGTTAGCTGTGGGAGGAAAAGTGAAGTGATTCAGTTTGACCACATTGCTGCAGTTTTTCAGCATTATTCTATCATGTCTGTTTCAGTAGCTTACATCAGCTATCCGTCTTATGCAGAGACAGGAAGAAGGGTTATCTGTGCTGTTAAATAATATCTGACCCAGACACATTCTATTCAGGCATCAGTTTGCTCACACTGCTGGAGACACAAACAGTGCCAAAGGGCCAATGGTGGTGGACGGCTCCTCTCTCTTCACTGCAGGATAGAAAGATTCAAAAGACCTTTTGTACCAACAGCCATCAGACTTTATAACTCTTGTGTGTAGTGAGACAACTGCTTTCTGCTATCCACATTGAATTCACCCCTCAAAGGAATGCAGGCTCCCCTGGTTTGGATAGGAAATGGGGGAGAAACGGTTTGCACACCAAGTTCCCATTTACGACCCAGAAAACCATTTGGGAGGTGATAGGGAATCTTTAACGCTTCCCAAAAAGGACAAGTTGCTTATCAACCACACAGACCCATAAACACGGAGTCTCTCACCCTGGCTGGGAAAGATCAGAATTGACACTTCAGGATTAACCCAATGACCTAAAAGGGAAAACAAGCCAGTTGGCGCCAAATCTGAAAAACCAGATACCTGCCATAAAATTCCTTGGCTTTCTTTACAGAGCAGAAGGAAGAGGATGCCTGAAAATGGTTTAACTTCATGTTTAATGGACACTTCACCAGAATTTTCTGTCTGTACACCACATTCTTAATGAAATGGTCTTTTTCCCAATTCTGTAACATATCCACAAGCCAAACTGTTAACTTCACAAATTTATTCCAGGATTTCCATGGACCAAGAGCTCCTCCTAGTGGTGATGCCTGAATATGGTTTGATCAGAGCCAAATGGCAGGAATCTAATCATGTGTATTTCTTCCCTTTTTGTTATACACTTCGTAGCTTAGTAAATGGTATTCCCAAGATAGGCTAGTAGTTTAGAAGTAGTAACGTGAAACTCGTTTAGACTCAAGTTAAGAGTTTCGGAATGTATCCATACTATGTTTTATCTACCTCACACAAAAATATATATTAATCATCTAGGAAGCTTGATTGACAAGGTTATAATGTTGTCAAATATTATTACGTATGTGTTTCTTATGCTGGATGGTGTTTCTGTTCAAATAGATAATTTGTTTTCTGCCCCTCTCTAACTTTTAAAAGTCGTTAATCCTCTGTTAGTGTCAAGAAGACGGCTGATCAAAGTTTACTGTTTTCAATGTCATGCTTTAATGCGTCTGCTCATAAGAAACAATGAAGTGAAATGTGATCGTATGTGATGTTACAAACAGTTTAATCATAGTAAGTGAGTAAATTAGATCTAGCTCGCTTTTAATATCAAGTTGAGTTAAATTCGCTGCCAGTCGATGTGCTGCATCGGGTTACAGCATTGGCTGTAACTTTCCTCTTGGCTCACGCCCACACGGGATGGTTTAAAAAGAGCCCGGGAGTCTTTGCTCGCTCTTCAGTTTTTGTCTCTTCCGTTTTTGTCTCTTCTGTGTTTAGTTCTCTCTTGTTTTCGTTTCTTCTTCGTTTTTCTCTTCGTCTAGTTTTCTTTTGTCTTCGTCTATCGTTCGCAATTTTTCCCCGCGTTTTATTAAGTGCCTTAAGCTCAGATTTTTATTCTAAACTTGGATGAAAGCATTCCCAAGTCCTTTAGAGCCTCAGTAACAAGCTGCGCGCATAAGAGAACCTCAGTCTAAGTCTTTTTATTTTTGTTCGCTAAAGTGACTCCTGAAGATAATATCGGCTGGCCAGCGAAATTATTTTCTTAAGTTATTGGCGCGAATTAATCTGCAACCAAGCAAGTCCTGAACGCCGACCAGCATCATCTGCCAAGCTGCTTTGCCACCTGGTTCCGAGAGGCCCAGAGATCCGAAGTATCTAACGGCGCTGACACGGTCCTGAAGCTGAGATCCAGACACGGCGGAAGAACTCCCCGCCGAACCTTCAGTATCCGGTCCGGTAGCCACAGAACTTCAGCTGATCCATTCCAAGGGTGCCGCTGAGAACCGACGTCCAAAGTAGGCTAAATCCTCGAAACTGCTGTGATGAGAACTGGGTGATGCCGTCAACCGTTCAGTAGCTTACTCTCATAAGTTATAGTTTAGTTCTCCAAATTCCTTTTTATTTACCCTCGTAACTCCGTTAACGTAGGTTAAATTTCCCCTTTATTCACTCACTATTATTAACCTCCAGTCTTAAGTTTAATTTAAACCATTCCTTCGTTTATTCATTAGATGTGCTTTGATTTGCTCATTATTTGATCATCATTTATTGACGTTTTGTTATCATATAGCTTGTTAATAAATTGTCCATTTAATTTTAAGTTGTCGTCTTAGTGGTCTTTCAGAAAGTAGTCCCTGAATGAAGAATTCCGGCCTCAGATGAGAGACTGATTTAAATCTGTGTAAGACTGATCCAACGTTTAATTACTCAATTGAACTTTGTTTCGTCCTTTTCCCACCAGAAAGGTGGGTGGTGCCCCTTCAACGAGTGCATAAATGTCATAATTTAATTTGATTGATTTTCGACATTTATTTTGAATTTGAAATCGCTACATGTGTAAATAGTAGATAACTTTTAGAGACATGTTATGTGAGACAACAGACAATTGAATTTCCCTTTGGGGATTAAAAAAGTTTTTCTAATTCTTACAATAAGGAATGTCAACAAGACTGGATAGGCTGTATTGGCTGAGCGAGATCGTGTTGGTTCGTTCCACTTCAGTGGGCAACATAAACTGTGATTCATAAAATAGCTCTACTGATAGTGAGTACTAAAAAAAAATATCTACTCATGCCATCCTGTCGATTTTTAGTAATCAGTTTTTGGTGTCAAACTATTTCCTTTCTGCGGCGTAGTGATACTTGCACACGCGCAATCGAATATGCAGAGGGTGAAGCGATTTTTGTCACGTGAACCAATAGGAGCCTAGTCTCGTTGCCATAGTATCAGAAATACACAAGCATGGCAATGAGCGGATCTAGCAGCGAGACAAGCGAGGAGGAAGAAAAGAAAAGGGAAAAAAAGAAATCAGCCTTCAAAAGTGTATTAAAAAGGAACGAAACGATGCTATATGCATCTATCATCTGTCCAGACTGAAGACGTTCTCGGCTTTACAAGGACACGTTAGGAAACTTACAGAACTAGTATTAGAAAGTGGCTTTCTCTACAGGGTGAGACAAAAGACCAGCCAGAAATGTACATATATGTGAGTAACACAAAAAAACAGTTATATGGTGCTGCTGTCTTTGCTTGTAGAAACTGCTTTGTTGATTCTGGCAAGACAAAATCTTTCTCAAATGTCATAAATACATCTACCTAACATTTGAAACAGTTATTGGTGCCTTAGTATACGCATAAGTAAATTCAGATTATGAAATGTTGCAAATTTCTTGAAGAAAACGTCTCAACTCAAGTGATTTGCACCCAGCACAATGAAATATATACAGTATATTTAGCTAAAAGCTTATGTTTCATACATAAAAATGACACAACCTACTATGTAATAACAGCAATAAAATAGCACATCATGGCCATAAATGGCTGAAAGTCAATCAAATTGCTACCACGCCCCCCAAAATTGGAATAATGGAAAAAGGTGGCACACATAATTACTCAGCGTGTTAAAGGTGGATTGGTCAAGGTTAAAACTGTTGCCCAGATTTGCAAACCCAGTCAGGTATTCTTCTTTCTGACAAGCAACAGAAAATGTTTTTCTTTTGCCCTTGCCATGAAAGGCACTGATCGAGTCACAACCTGTGAATGTATGGATGTTCTTGTATGTCTGCAAGACTATCTTGTACAGATTTATGTTGGTGCCAAGCATGTGAGAATGCTTCAAAGGAAACAGAAGAAAGAGCTGTATGGGATGATGACTCTGATGAAGGTGATGCGTAATATACGCACCATGTCACCATGTACAATTTGTTTTGTTTAAAGGATTGCTACACCGAGATTTGAGATTTTTATTATTTTTATATCTGTTCTACATTTGTCTGTGTTTGTGTTTTGATCTTCATTTTCATATTCTGGAGGGATTGATAAATGTCAGATGTTTTGACACTGTGATAATTGAATAAATGTTTTATACCATATTTTGAATTAATTCAGACCTTTTGTGCATTTATTTTTGTCTTGTTACATTTTTTCCATTATTCCAATTTTGGGGGGCGTGGTAGCAATTTGATTGACTTTCAGCCATTTATGGCCATGATGTGCTATTTTATTGCTGTTATTACATAGTAGGTTGTGTCATTTTTATGTATGAAACATAAGCTTTTAGCTAAATATACTGTATATATTTCATTGTGCTGGGTGCAAATCACTTGAGTTGAGACGTTTTCTTCAAGAAATTTGCTACATTTCATAATATGAATTCACTTATGCATATAGTAAGGCACCAATAACTGTTTCAGAAGTTAGGTAGATGTATTTATGACATTTGAGAAAGATTTTGTCTTGCCAGAATCAACATAGCAGTTTCTACAAGCAAAGACAGCAGCACCATATAACTGTTTTTTTGTGTTACTCACATATATGTACATTTCTGGCTGGTCTTTTGTCTCACCATGTAGAGAAAGCTACTTTCTAATACTAGTTCTGTAAGTTTCCTAACGTGTCCTTGTAAAGCCGAGAACGTCTTCACTCTGGACAGATGATAGATGCATATAGCATTGTTTCGTTCCTTTTTGATGCACTTTTGAAGGCTGTTTTCTTTTTTTTTCCTTTTCTTTTCTTCCTCTTCGCTTGTCTCGCTGCTAGATCTGCTCGTCGCCATGTTTGTGTATTTCTGATACTATGGCAACGAGACTCGGCTCCTATTGGTTCACGTGACAAAAATCGCTTCACCCTCTGCATATTCGATTGCACGTGTGCAAGTATTACTACGCCGCAGAAAGGAAATAGTTTGACACCAAAAACTGATTACTAAAAATCGACAGGATGGCATGAGTAGATATTTTTTTTTAGTACTCACTATCAGTAGAGCTATTTTATGAATCACAGTTCATGTTGCCCCACTGTAGTGGAACGAGATTCACTTTCTAAGCACTTTTTCCTCTGTCCCAATACAGCCTAGGAGGGCTGCTGTGATAGTATGTTCAATGATGCCAAAAGTTAGATTCTATCTTTAAGAGCATGAGAGGCATGGGTAACAAGAGGAATCACCTGGTAGATACCTCAAGCAAAACCAGAGTCATACACTGTGTATACACGCATGCAAGCCTCCTGAAAATGAGTTAACAAGTAATATCAAGAATCAGTGTCTTATTTCCTCAGCATGATCTTTGTCTGGTCTTTCTTCATCTCTGTTCGTTGGTCTACATACAGTTGTGACTCAGTGCTGATTGGTAAGTTTCTTTGACCACAAGACCTGGGTACTCCAATGAACTCACTCCTCTTTCTTCATCTTCTTCTGTCCTCCCTTCATCATTGTTACTATTCTCAGAAAGACCTTCAATTTTCTGCTCTCTTCATTGCCTTTATCCTCTGATACACAGCCCCATTATTTGCTTCAAGGGCTGAACCCTCTGTAAGCATAAGGCAGTCCCACTTTCCCCAAACTCAGATGCCCCTGCTAAATTTTTTCGAGTGAGCATGACATAATGACATGGGACAATTAAATAAAAGCATCTGGGGTTTAAAATTATTTTCAAGATGAGAGCTGTGAACAACGCAGCAAATGTCTGGAAAATTTTTATAACTGCATATGTGAAAAAGGCTATAGTGATCAGCTATCTGCCCCAGCTGGATGGGTTGGATGGACAGAGGCAAAGGTAGAGATGGATAGAGACAAATAAACAGTCAGAGAGAAAGATAATAAAGATCGATGCTTGTACTGCCAATAAAAAATGAAAGAAAATGAAGATGAAAAAATGAAAAGTATCCCCACTCCCTAACTCAGCTTCTCCCAGCAGCATAAGTACAAAAGCCAATTCCAATAAAGTTGGAAAGATGTGTAAATCGTAAATATGAACGGAATGCAATGATTTGTAAATATATTCAATTCAATTGAATTTACTACAAAGACAAGATATTTAATGTTGAAAATCATATACTTTATTGTTTTTTTGCTAATAATCATTAACTTTAGAATTTGATGACAGCAACACGTGACAAAGAAGTTGGGAAAGGTGGCCAAAAGTACTGAGAAATTTGAGGAATGCTCATCAAACACCTATTTGGAACATCCCACAGGTAAGCAGGCTAATCGGGAACAGGTGGGTGCCATGATTGGGTATAAAACCAGCTTCCCCAAAAATTCTCAGTCATTCACAAGCAAGGATGGGGCAAGGTTCACCACTTTGTGAACAACTGCGTGAGCAAATAGTCGAACAGTTAAAGAACAATGTTTCTCAAATTACAATTGCAAGGAATTTATGGATTTCAACATCTGCGGTCCATAATATCATCAAAAGGTTTAGAGAATCTGGAGAAATCACTGCACATATGCGGCACGGCCGGAAACCAGCATTGAACGCCCGTGACCTTCGATCCCTTGTATCAAAAACCGACATCAATGTATAAAGGATACCCCATGGGCTGAGGAACACTTCAGAAAACCACTGTCAGTAAATACAGTTTGTCACTACACCTGTAAGTGCAAGTTAAAACTCTACTGTGCAAAGCTGAAGCCATTTATCAACAACATCCAGAAATGCTGCCGACTTCTCTGGGCCTGAGCTCATTGAAGATGGACTGATGCAAAGTGGAAAAGTGTTCTGTGGTCTGACGAGTCCGCATTTCAAATTGTTTAGCTTAGGTATGGGGGTGCATTAGTGCCCAAGGCATGGGTAACTTACACATCTGTGAAGGCAACATTAATGCTGAAAGATACATACAGGTTTTGGTGCAACATATACTGCCATCCAAGCAAGTCTTTTTCATGGACGCCCCTTCTTATACAGATTTGAAGCTAAAAAGCTCTCAGTATTTCCGGGATTTTTCTTCATTTCCTGAAACCAGTGCTGCGCAGTAGCATTGTGCGCATTCAGGAGAGTCGCTGTGATGACGCTCGGCTCAAACAGCGTATCCCCCGGGGTGAGCTACGCAATCCTTGAATGCCAATATGCTGTATCCTGATACCTTTGATTGACACCTGTGTCAATCAAAGAAAATATGAACCCCCTAATAACTTTTAAAAACGCAGCTTCACAGAAAAAAGCGGACTTGAGCACAAACCAGTCTTACTGTAACTACATGTCAACACCGCAAGCAATTAGTCTCCTCAGTTCCCAAATGTTTATTGCGTTTTGTTAAAAGGAAAGGTGACACAGTGGTAAACATGCCCCTGTCCCAACTACTTTGGCACGTGTTGCAGCCATGAAATTCTGAGTTACTTATTATTAAATATTATTTGCAAAAAGTTTATGAGTTTGAACATTAAATATCTTGTCTTTGTAGTGTATTCAATTGAATATAGGTTGAAAAGGATTTGCAAATCATTGTATTCTGTTTTTTGTTTATGTTTATCACGATTTCCCCTTCAATAGAATTGGGTTTTGTTGTAGAGAGGGAGGAGAGAAGGCGTGGGGCAGGTTTAACACAGCCGAGACCTGTTTTCACCAATCACATCAGCTCCTCGTCTCACCTTTAAATCCGCCACCGGTGAGGCATATTACAATTTTCATGCAGTAGTCGAAGAGATCATTGCTAAAGACAGCAATGCCACACAGTGGCGACAGAAGGCAGCCCCTCAACAAGTGTCACTGTAAGCGCTGCGGAGGGCGTCCTCCACACTCTCTCATATAAGCACAGATGGATTTGGTGTGTGTTAGATTGTACCCACTGGTAAGACAAACACCAGTTTCCACGAATAAAGACCATCACATAAAATTGCACATATTTAAAACCCACGTAACAAAGGTGGGTTGTGCGCACAGATCACAACATAAATTCTAATAATGGCATTAAAATCGGAACCACCTGTGTGCAAAGGATCGCGCTCCATGGCCTGGCTTTCTTTCACTGATGTTAGTATATAAAATAAACTTGGCTCATGTAACTGAATATTATAATATTCGAATGTAGGCCTGACTTCAGATTGAATATTCACAGAATTTTAAGGATGTGAGAACTAGAGGATGACATTTTTTGGGAATTACCGTGGGTCACATGATCCCCGCGGAAAAAAAAGCAACGGGAGTGGACAGGAGTGGGAACAACATTAATAGATGATCATTTCAGCCATGTTAAAGAACCAGATGAACAGATGTGTCCATTTTGTAGTCATCTCTCAGTGAGAGCCAACACGCTTGACCGCGCTAGCAACACAAAAGAACTAAACAGTGGTTTGACTTCCTGTCACCGCCGGAAGTGAAAAGCGACTCGGAACGGCTGCCGGCAACACACATAACTGATGTAGTTCTCCCATGTTACCTCAACAAGAATATATACACAGGGCTGACACACGCACTCCCACCCGTTCACATGCCACACATTGTATTTCCCATGCATTTAAATGAACATGATGATGTCCACCAAGTTGCACCTCTTTAACAATGGAACAGGTAGGAATCAAGTGAGTTCCTCCGAGAGTTAAGAAGCTGCGTGCCACGCGCAAGCCAACCAAATAAAGTATATCTACTGAACAGCCAATCAAAAAGCAGCATTGCTGTATCTGGGTAGATTTTGATATCTTGCGGTTTGACTACAGAAGAAGACAGACACTCGTCGAAATAGAGCAGGTTTTTATAAGGGCGAGATAGACCCGATGATTACAGTAAGTCAGTAACCTACACATGCAGAGACCTCAACACCTCATGGCATATAAACTCAAATGATGAACAAAAGCCCTATGCTATTGCTGTTAACAGCTGTATTGATGAATTTAGCCTCTGTACAGCCATTTCCAGCCATTTCCCCTCCACAAAAGCAGCATTTCTCATATATTCTTTTTAAAGTTCTGATACTCATGACAGTGTAATGCTCATGTACCAAAGGATTAAGTATCTCCATGTTTGTGAAACCTATACTAAAGTACAATTCATCTAAATGCTTCCACAACAGGTAATTTTACGACTTTTATATTAATGACTTTACTCTCCTCAATAATGACTGGATTCTCGAAGATTTAAAAACGTTTGTTTTCTTTATGTGGCCCTCATACTCTGATGTATTTAAGAGATTATTATACTAATAATTATCTTCAATCACCCCACCCCCCCCCCCCCCAAGGAAATCTCAATCTAAGCTTAGTTCAAAACTTGAGAGCCCTGTATACATATACAGTAGCGGTTCTAGGCACGGGCTGCCCAGGACGGCATTTGTGTCGTGACTCATGGGGAGCGGCACAAGGACTTCCAAAAAAGAAAGAAAAAAGATAATTATAACAACTCTGCACCACAAAGTGGTTTTGTATTAACTGTTGTCAAATTGGCGCCCCCTGCTGCTGTAGGCGCCTCTGCTTGCTGCGAAGGTGCTGCACAGAGGCTGACAGACTGTATGAGACGAAACGGGAATAGGGTCGTGGGGGACGGCTCTGCTCTCAGGATAGCTCTCACTCTGCCAGTCACGGTGGTCCAATCAGAGAGGAGCTTCTCAAAACTGAAGTTGATAAAGTCGTACCTAAGGTCAACCATGTCTCAGGAACGGCTCACTGGCCTTGCCGTCATCAGCATCAATCACTTAACCCATTTAAACTGGGACAGTATGTCCGCACTTCAACCTTGGGTGGCTGTGCATTTCCATCCCTCAAGCCGGGAGCGCAGATATGTCATTTTGTGACATTCTGTAGTTTTTTAATCATTTCTGGAGTCGTTGCGAATCAAATCACCATACTCGTCTGCCTCTGGTAGACGAATAAAGCGCTCAGATTCATGCTCAGATCTTGCAACGTGCTTCAAGAGTAAAGTAATCAACGACGGAGGCAGAGAGCAGCTTAAGAGGAGAAACATCCAGCAGTGTGAACAACCTGTTGCATGACTTTGGGTGAGCACAGACATGTACACACTGTCAGCCACGTATTTATTTATTCATTTTTCTTGTTTTAAGCGCTGGTCTTGTACTGGCACTATACTAGGGCAGCTGCATACCCTTTCAACACTTTATTTTTTATATTTACATTTGAATTAAATTGACACTTTATCATGACTGCCACTTTTTTACAGAAAGCAAATAGTTTGTTATTCTCCAGTGCAGAGTCTTTACTTTTATTTTGTTTGTTCAAGGTTTTCAATAATGTGATAAAGGTTCTGAAAAATAATAAATAGCTTTCTTAAAGCCACACCTGTAAGCTCTCAAATACTTTTTGAATTTTGTTTCTATCTGCTACAGAGGCAGAGATATCAGCTTTTTTGTAAACCTCAACAGTTAAGAAAACCTCAGGATCTGGGGGCCCTTCTTAAAATTGCCCTCAGGATTTCAGAGGCGCGGCTCAGACAGGGTTCAGGTCTTAATGGGTTGACAGGG